TCCTCTTTCTCATTTTGTTTCAGCCTCCCACCCCCCCTCACCTCACCCTTCTTCCACCATCCCCCGCTCTGCGTGCTGACGAGGCAGCAGGGAGGAAGCGGTGTAATAAAAGGAAGCGCTAATGAAAGGTTGAGCGGGGTCAACGTACTCACATACCTTTGCCGGACAAGGGGAAGAGAGGTCATTTATTCCAAGGGGACAAAGTGTTTCACTTTTTGACTGGGGGGTGTCAAAAGTTCAAAAGGTCGCAATAAAGGACACCAGGTCGTAGCCTCTGGGCTGAGATTCTGTGCGTCCTGGGGTCAGAGGTTAGTGCAGGAATGCTGGGTAAACGGGAGGTTGGGAGCAGGGTCAAAGGTGTGGTCTCTATTCCCCGTTTGGAAAAATATGTCAGAGAAAACGCGAATTGTACTCGGTTATACCTGAGACTATAGGGCTCATACTGTACCTACAGCAGCAGCAGGTTCAGGCTGAAGGTGTAACTGTGATTTAATATTATAATTACACACAGTGGAGAGCATATAATGGAAACTGATGGATCATATTCAGACTGTCAGACGAAGAATTACAGCGTTTAATTAAACCTTTCAAGAATAACTGTTGCTGCATTGGATAAAATTTATGTAACTAATATAAGACCCCATGACAGCCATTCATCCAAGACTATATAGTCTTGCATACAGTAACTTATTACAAGACTGAAGGATATTGAATAAGTTAAATAAACACATGTATAATATTTACCATTATGGAAGATAAAGTTCAAAAGTATCATTTTCCATGCATTTCTCCTTGACATTACTAATACAAAGTACTGGTATTAACAGTCTATTACTCTGATGACAGATGAGATGAGCTCAGAGCTCAGATTGAAATCAGTAGGGGTGACACTGCCATCTACAGGAGCAATATAAAACAGCCAGAGTAAAGCCAGCATAGACATACACAGTAAGACTACAGTAGCAGAAAATGATTAAAATCAAAGCAAGAAGACTCTGGTAGACGTGAGTGGAATTGTGTGAAACAAAGGGATTAATAGTGCTTCTTTAATTAGACTGCTCTGTAAATCACAGAATTTTAACCTGAGAGTTGCCTTGTGACTGTTCTGTGTTTGTGAAAGGCTCACACACGGAATTGATCTTTACTCTGCATAATTCCATCTGGAGAAGCTATCAACGACGGTAAACAGCTGAAATCTGAACTGTAAAGTTAAGAACACTGATAACAGATAGGCATGTTTCATATCTGTCAGTCTCATCTGGTCACAAAAGACAACAGAGACTATTTTTGTCAGTGCTGATTATTAGGTTGGAACATTCAAGGATTAAAGTAAGGCCTTCTGATTCTGTGAAGGTTTAAACTTGTATTATTCACCAGTCCCAGTAGAGGGCAGTACACCGGCACTCAGTACCAACACTGTTCAGACATGAAAATGGCCAAACAATGGCAATTTGATGATTTGGTATGTGTATAAGATCTACATGATGAAACTATTATCTTTCATCATGTTATCCTTTGATGGGCCCAACCATAATAAAGCAATGGAAAATATTGGTTTGTATTTCTTGGTCTCCTTGGGCACTAACAGAACAGAAGCAGTAATTCCTGTTTTAACTGACCACACAGTTTGAGTGAGTCATGAGCCTCCACAGAATAGAGAACTGAGATGTCAATTTACAGTAAAATGAAGTGAAAGTGAAATAAAAGAGTATGTGTAAAAACTGATGTAGAAAACAAATTACAACATATACATGTATAGAGAATTAGCTGTGTTTTTGGTGATGGAGCTCTCTCTTTTGGTTTTGTCATGGACCATTGCTGACTTGCAAGCACAAGAAAAGTACTTCCACTTCACTTCAATGTTAACACACCATTTGGTTCGCCACTGATCGCAATGAGGTGGTTCAAGTTCACAAACATTACTGCGATTAGACGTGGCTTTGTGGCTCTGGTACATGGGACGCCAGCTCTACCAGGTGAGCTATCTGGGCACACCAAGCTTCACCAATATTAACAGTGCCACTGTGGATTTATCTGATTAGACAAATGTTTTTCATAAAAAAATTAATTGATATATTGACAAGAGTTTCTAGTCAGAATTTTTTTTTTATTGCATGGTAATGTAGTTTTGGTTTAAACATGCTGGACATCTCAACCGAATGAGTATATTTTTAAAAACATTTTACAGTCATCAGACCTTTGCGGAGATATTCATTTACATCCTTCTTTAAAATCCAAACTAGATCAACAAAATTACCTTTGAAAACACTATTTTTTCTGCAGCTAACTGGAAGGAGGCCACCTGGAATGGTATGGCTCTGAAAACCGGCTCTGCACCCGTTGGATATTTTGGAGCCTGATGCCTCAATCAGGTTGACATAACTGCAACTCATTTTTCAACAATATATCCCTACTAAAAATGTGCCACAGAAGGCTTAAAGGAATAAAACCTGATCAGGATTTCCACATCAGCTCTGTTGCCACACAGTACCTCTGACTGTGACAGATGTTCTGCAGCAGCAGCCATAACATATTAAATATGCAGCCATAACATTTTTAATATGCCGCAGCACTAATAGCTACTTAGAGGATTGTGAATGAAGCCAGATGAGCTACAATGGGCTTGCAGTGAAAGACAGTTTAACCAAAGGTAAAAGAAACAACCGTTACCACTGCTGAGGTGCCTGTGAGCAAGGCGCTTAATCCCCAACTGCTCAGCAGCCAAGACATTAGACCGTGGTTGCAGTGGGCAGCTTCCAGGTGTGAATGTGTGTGACTGGGTGAGTGTGAAGTGGGAAGTTTCAGAAAAAAGGCTTTCATGCTCAGTGAACTGACCCCTGACAAATAATAAAAAAAGGAAAACTAACAGGCGTTCACTATGAGTTTGGAGTTCATGTGTTCATATCCATATTAAAACCAGAGGATTACATCAGAATTCATTATTTGCAGTGAACAACTTTGATGTCAGTATCCTGTCATGGCCACTGCTGTACTCCTGCAGTGTTTTCTTCCCTGTGTCTCTGCTCCTATATGTATCTCTGTGCCTATGTGATGTGGGCGTGGTCTTCCCTCCTAGCTCCCAGCTATGCTCCTCTGCACAACTGACTGGAATCAGCTCAGCACCACTCCCAGCTGACTTGCCTGTCCTCACCTCGGTAACCTCTCTGGTTGCTTGCAAATGCAAGACACTTGAGTAACTGTGTCTTGCCTTTGGGTCTACCCATTAACTAAACATAACATATCCGTCAATAAAGTGATAGAGAATAGAGTGTTGTTTGCAATTTCAGCATATTAGATATAAAACTATAATATGCAATACACAATAAATGTAAAATCTATTCTACAACAAGAGGTCATGCAAATCTAATTTAATTTCAGAAATGATTACTGAATTTTGTAAGGTAAAAAGACATTCTTGATCAAGTAGCTTGAGTAATTAAAGTGACACTGACTTAATTTTGTACATTTTATTTATAATGTGAAAACAAAATACCTAGTAAAAAGTATTTAACATGGAATGTTTCTGTAAGTTAGCATCACTTAAAATTACTAGTAAAACTGCTTAATCAAGAAGCTTTTTTAATATACAAAATTGAGTCTGTGTTACTTAAATTTTCGATGTAATGTACATTTAAAAGTTAGAGGAATTTCTCGCATTACAGTGCATGAAAGTGAAATGCTGTATCGATGGAGGGCCACTTTAAACGCAAGTTCATAACCCTCAGATTATGAAATGCTCTGATGTGGCGTTTAACGTGAAATGACTGAAGCAATGCTATTTTTATTAAGAATGTTGCTATTGCAGATCTTATTTGCATTAATGTGTATAGTAAATAATAAACCCTTGCTGCAGTAAATTCAGAGATGGAAATGTAAGTTCTGCTGCTGGATAAATAACAGTAAGGCTCTAGAGTAAAATATAAGTAACATCTTTGTTCCTTATTACCAGAGAAACATTGTTCTCATTCTCTGACCTAATTCTGCAGCAGAGCTCTGATCACAACAACATGAAAGGTCTTCTTTATCTCTGGATGAGAGACAAAAAGACAGCGGGGCAGCAAGAGAAGGTGTAGACAACTGCACCAGGGAGGAATCAGGGGGAGGGGGCCTTCAGGAGGAGATTACCATTGAGCTTGACATCAGTAATAATTGTAATAATGTTATTTCCAGAAGCCTATTCACTGGGACTATCACCTGCAGAGAATAGGAACTGGAGGCTCAACTTAAACTGATGTCTATCCTCAGGATAGATGAAAGAAATGACTGTAATAAGAGGTTTGTATTTAGAGATTTGTGGGATTTATCAGAGTTAAACACAAACATTTCCTCAAGTATTAGTATTTAGAAGACAGGTAAATGTCTCTGCAGCTTCCCTCTGGAAACACACACAGTTTGAAAAGCCTCAATCACTATAATACAGTAGGATGAAATGATGTAATCATGCTTTTGTCTGATAGATATGTTCCAGTTTATTCATTTTTCCATCATAGAAACAATGTAACACATTTGTTCTAACTGTCAAATGCATGTTTGATTCCTTACATAAACTCAGGAACAATGGAAGACTAAGGATACCTTGGTTACAGCACGTGTCCAGACGTACACACAAAACCCATTGAAAACGTGACAAAACCTAGGATCTTTGTATTCTGCATGGATGATAACAGTATATTAGTAAATCAGTCTTTTTTCACAGAAAACGCAGTCACCAGAAGTTTAACCTCACTTAGTGATTACTTCATCTCTATCAGGTCATTATAATCATTTCAGACACATGCCAAACAAAGCCGGCCTGTGTTGTTTATTGTCTTGTTGTCACGGGTGGCCTGGCTCTTTCTGAGGCCAGTGTTGGACAGCAATGGCTCACTGCATCTATTGGATTATGTGAGGGATTTGAAGCCAGGATTAGGCCATTGGGCTGTAGACAGCATGGGGGCTTCGTGAGCTTTTACATCACAGGGGTGTGTTAGGGTGCATGTGTGTGAGTGGGAGGGTGGTGTGTGAAAGTGTGTTTGCGCATCCCAGAGGCCACAGCTTGTCTCCACTTGGCTCCATCCAGATCTTTGGCACGGACCTTCAAACATGAACCTGTTCTGCTTCACACTGGTAAGATACGTCATCTTCTGAACTCCTGTGTGTTTTAGGTTTGTCTGTCAGGAGCTCTTGTTTAGTCCCTGCAGCCTTACAAGAAGCTGGTGAGCAGAAGAAACTCAGTGTGCCCTGCGGGAGAGACTGGTGATGTTATTGTTGTTGACAAGGATCTGAAACCGTCTCTCTGGGGAGCGAGACAAAATTGCAAACAACTTTCCTTCTTTGTTAGATCCATTAGGTTCCTTAGGTGCAGCCGTCCTTCGCTGCATTGTGTTGGCTATTTACTGTAACTGTAAATGGGATGTTTTCATGTAATTAATCATTATATATTGGTGTAATAATCCTGGCAACATGAGACGTTTTCCAAAAATGTAGAAACTTTCTAACCTAATGTAATCACAGTCCAATGTCGTGCATAAGTGCTATTTGTTGAATTAACTTGTTTAAGAGAGAATGGATGTGCACCTGCTTGGTCTTAAAGCAGCAAAACTCATAACGTGACAATTAATATAACAAGGAATTTTTTTTTCATTAATTATCACACTCGTAGCAGCAGTTTGTTACAATGATAATGGTTTGTTGTTGGAAGTGATGACACATGGCTGCACATGTTCAATTAGATTATTAGTGACAGTTTATAGTGGTAGCTGGTAATTACACACTGACTCGTCTTCCATTCTGTGCCAGATTTGGGGCTTTACTCTAAATTTGGCAACACAAACAATACAAAATGTTACCAGCCTCATGGACTCAAAACTGTTATAACACAACAACATAAGATGTTCTGATCACCTGAACAAACCATGACAGATTTATGTCAGTGGTTACACAACTGCTCTCATTACTTAACGACCCCTACCAGACAAGCATTTAGACACATATACAAATAGTCTGCAGGGAACAATAATGTGTCTCTTCCACAAAAGTAACATTTCTTCATTGAAATCTTTAAAAGTAATCTCCTCCTTCCACCTCATTAAAACTTCCAGAATCTCTGAATATGCAAATGCTGTTCATTTCAGTTCACAAAGTTTTGCTGCTGGACACAAGATGTCTCCTACTTCACTGTAAAGTCCATTCTCAGTGGATGTGCACTGGTGGCTTCAAGTTTCTACATCACACTGTACAAGTTGATACTGGACCAGGACTGACTTCCTAACTATTTCTGATTTCACAAATCATGTTGGTTGGACCTGCCCCTTAAAATCAGATTTTCAGTGAGCTCAGCTTCCACTTTCAGCAGCTGGATGTGAAAACATCCTTTTAGAAGAACAAGAAGAAATAAATATTGGATTGGAGGGAGGTTAAAATATTGTTTTTTTAAATTTAATATGAAGAAGGACTTAAAACATTTTGATAAAAATTTAGATAACTGCAAAATTCCCAAAATGGGGAGATGTTGTAAATCCACATCTAGTGGGAAATATATATAATATAAGTTGTCAATCATCTTAAAAATACACATGTTGGGATGGAACAGTATCTGTGTTACAGTCTATTTGTCCCATCCTGTTCTGTAAACACGTACTGGTTGTCCCCAACAGCCAGTATGTGTTTACAGAACATGCTGGGCACACCAATACAGGATGAGCAGTTTGTTTCATAAGCAGAGTTGGTCATGAGTTTAAGTAGCTGGGATTTACTAAATGCTGAGATTATGAGTCTAAATTCCCCCAGCAGGTTGGTTCAGCAACGTTTGATTTCTTTAATTTTTCTGCTTAAAAACATTCAAATATTAAGATATTTAGTCTACAATAATATCAGAATCATCCTTAAAAACAAAACAAATTGGTTGTTGGTTGTTATGGTCAATGTAAACTTCTTGCCAAGTCATGAAAGCTTAATTTGACACTGCACATGAAAAAGGTAGAGATATTAGAAAGGTAAGGTTTCTGTTTTCTACATATGCTTGTTTGACGAAGGACTTGGAGCATACAATACTTCTCACAAAGAAGGTAATTGTCATTGTAAACATTGTCTTTTTCCATGGTCAGACATTTTGACTAAATCAGTGCGTTCATGGCAGACTGCTGATCTGTGCTATCTTCAGACTGAGGAAAATAAGCACAGATAGTACACCAAAGTGTGAAGAATATTGATTATACATGTTTGAGTGGAAGACTGTACACGCGGCACAATCACAGCAGTGTAGGTGTCTCACAAAGACATGTCCGTTTGTCCCTCATGTACGGCTTTTCATTGATTTTGCATTGTGTAGTCGGACTGATGATTGATTCTAGACAACTCCTCGTTGATGAGCCTCTACACCAGGATATATTTAGTCTGAAGGTTCAAACAGAGCCAATCAGTGTACTGTAGTATTTAAACCCAGCTGCCGCTATCATGCAGTCTGATTTTTTTTTCTCCAGGAGGGCTCCACAGAAAGTATATATGAACCAGCCTACAGTCAAACACTCAAGGAAGTCCTACCCAAGTACCAGTGCAGTCCTGCTCTTCGGAGGCGTAAGCCTGAATGGGGCGGCTCAGATCCATCCATCAATTCTGTAAGTTTATTGTCTTTATTCAAACCTTGACCCGATGATGCCACATAGTGGATCATTTAAACATTCAAACCACTGAGTCTAGAGACTTGTAACATTCCACAGATCATTTACTGGCCACACAAATAGTCTTTGTGATACAGGATGAGGGTCAACCTCTGGAAACCAGAAAGAAAGCCAGAAACAGTCTTGTTTACTGTTACCATTCACCTCTGTTAGACTGCGATTAAACCTGTTCCCATATTGTGTGCTGCTGGATCTTGCACAGCTTGTGCAGGTACATGCAAAGCTGTGCAACAGTGTAATTGACACAAACACAATACAAAGAGACTGCGGCCACCCAAGTGCAGTGGTTCCCAACCTTTCTCCGTAAGGGGATTGAGTCCTTTGAACTAAATGCTGGCATCAGCATGCTCAGAAGGGCATTAATAACTTGCTGATGTTAAGCAGGAGAAATTTGTATAACACATTTGGCTTATTCGTTTTTTGTGCCCAGCACCAGAAAATCATCCGGGAACTATGAATGTCTGTGTGTCAAGATCAGTTGCCTAATGGCTAGTGCATCCCATTTGTTAGCCATATTATACTTTGTTTGTTTTTATGTGTGTCTCTCTGTGTTTCCCCAAGGACCGACCTCAGAGTACAATAAAAGTAAACCAGAATAATAGAAGGTATGTCAATTATGCTTGCCCGTTTTGTACAGTAATATTTAAGTGAGCACACACTGCATTTCTTTCTTAATAATAAAATTATGTATACTTTCTGTAGTTTTATTTGTATTTCACTCATTCAAATCAACTTACTTCCCACTAAAATATTTGTCATTTTAGGTCATGTGTGCCAACTTCACCCATTGACAATGACACATTAGGTTGGTACAAAATTCTAATGTTTTAGTTTTCGGATGGTTATTGACTCTACGCTAAAGTAACTTCAGGCTCATACTACTCATCTTGATCTGACATTACATCCTTTCTGTATACAGTTATACTGACAGCTGGTCCCCCGCTTCTCCTTACCCCTCCACCTTGTCTGTTGCAGACAAAGACATTAATCACGCCTGCTGGATGTCATCAGGTAACAAGAAGGACTTATGTCATCAAATCAAAGTCCAGAATGGAGGTAAAGAAATATGTCTACCTGAGCAAAACCAAAGTGCTTATACTAGGAAACCATGGTCCACTGAGGTTAGAGACTAGACTAAAGAATATCAGAGAGTCAGGGAGTCAGATGAAAGCAGGAATAAAATGATGAAAGTAAGGCTAGCTGGTGTTATTTACCTCATATCAAGGATCAATGGTGAGGACAGGATTTGTATGTTTGACAGTCTATGATTTAGGAGGAAATAAAGCATTGTCTGACCTGTGGATTGATCCTACAGAGATGTGTAAAGCTCTGTGTCACAGCAGCGTGTTGACCAGAGATGACAGAGTGAAGGACCCGAGCTGTGACAGGACACATCTACCCGCTCAGGTAAATCACCTCAGAGCAGGTTTCACCCTCCAGCAGAGCCGCATTATGATCAATATAGTACAGTATCCATGTTAAATGTAACTCTATATTCTGTTAATAATATTCACATTTGGGACTGGATTCACATTCCAAAAGACGAGTTTGCATCCTTTTACACGAGGGCACAATCACTTTAGTACCACAAATGATAATTGTTTGCAAAGCTGTGCAGAGTGCAGTCTTTTATAATCCCTTACCCACATGGCTGTGTGTGGCAGACAGGCACCTGGCATACCTGGATGTTTGTGCACATGTTGGTGCACGTGAGGGAAATGTCAGCGGTTGTTTATCTTTGCTCATCTTCCACGTTGTGCTTATGTAACTGAGGGTTGGAACAGATTCTATTAATTAAAAGTATCTGTAACTATGGTAGAAATACCAAGTTAAGTCTTTTGACAGTAGATAAAAGTACATTTTATCTGGCTTTCGTAAGAGTGAATACAGAAATCTGGCTAATGCTTCAAAGTTAACTCACTCAGTATGTTTATGTGGTATGAACAAGAGGTTGCAGAGGGTAAAAAGTGAATGTGAAGTAAACCTGAGGGAGGTCAGTTGAATGCCAGCCACATCAGATCTCTGTTCACTCTAATCTACTCTACAATCTTTAATCTCCTTTACAAGGCCCCTTTATATCTGCCCTGTGTTCTTTAGAACATCTGGATTTTCTAGTTTGATGCTGTTCATGCCAGCAGCTGATAGTTGAGAGGGAGACGTCACAGGAGGACAGCAATCCCAGCCCTACAAAAGGGAACAAGTGATAGAGCAGTGTCTGTATGAAAAGGGGAGATTTTGTTAAAGCATGTTTGTAGGGGGTATACACAGCATTTTTGGGAAGGTTCAGCCCTGTCCTCAGCTTAGTTGTTTAATGCAATAATGTGAATGTAGACAGTGGTGGAAGTACAGTAGTTTTCAGATCCTTTACTATAATGTGACATATACTCACATGTGCAGCAGTGGTCGAAAGTATCTGATCTAATAATGCCAGATATAATAATATACCAGCCACAGGGAGCATCTTGCTGCAGTAACAAGTACTTTTACTCATGATACTTTAGTGCATGAAACTGATAATATTTCTGTACTTTATTTAAGTAGGATTGTTCTGGGAATTGTTGGCTCTCTGTAAATCATTTTATAAGGAGGACGGTTTAGACACTACAGCTCTACAAGAAAAGTATCCTGAGATAACTTCTGTTATGATTTGGCACCATACAAATAAAACTGAACTGAACTGAACTCAATACTGGTTATTTTCTCACTCAAGTGAAAGATCTGAATTCTTCCATCACTGATTAGGATTAGGTATAAAGTAACATATAATGGAAATACTCAAGAAAAATACCTCAGAATTGTACTTAAGTAAATGTACTTTCCACCACTGAATGAAGACCACAATGTTTTTCTAAATGAATACAATAAACTCATAAATAATAAGTCAATCTGACATTATATGTTTTGCAGCAGGGGACTGACACAATTTGAATAAAATGCAAGTGACTACTTTCCCTGTTTCCACAGTGATTGAGATTGTTCACAAACAAAAATCACTACGCAGTTGTATGCAAGCACAGACATATGTTTATAAAATCTCTACTCTTCTTATATATTCCTCTGTCTTTGTGATGCAAAATCATTGCATGTGGTTAGTGCTGAATGTGCCTACACTGCATTGAATACACATATTGTTAATTACAGGGTGGTGAAACTGCAGCTGACACAGCAGAGTCAATACACGCCACAGGAAGACTAAAGAAGTTACAGAATCTAGTTCAAATGAAGAAGGAACATCAGAGTGGAGCTGGAAAAGGGAAGAGCACATCTGAGAGTAATGGTGAGTTGTTGTGGATGATGTTCTTCATACTGTTCAAAAAGCTGCATTAAATCTATTATTAACAATCATTTCTGCTCTTCTTCAGACCTGGCAAATGTGTTGAGTAACAACAACCCAGTGCTAACCTGCATCGGTCTGGGGAAGAGAACAGAGAAGAAGTCCCCTAAATCACCACCACAGCAGCAGCAGCAGGCCAAATATGTTCATGAAGATTCAGAAGAAGAAGGCGTTTGGAGCCCACGGCTTGGAAATTATTTGTGGAGCCCATTTGAGTGTCCGCAGCCCTGGTCTCCCTTCTACCACACCTGTCACCAACCTCAACATGAGCTGTGGGTCTGCGGTGGCACCTTGACGCTGCCCCGGAGGACAGAATGGGATCGCTTTGAGAGTTTGATACAGGAACTGGACAGCAAGCAGCCTGATCTGTCTCCTCCACAGACAGCCTGCTCCATCACAGATCTGGAGCCCTTACAAAACACAGTAAGATATACCTTGGTGTTATTACCATATGAAAATGAATCCAGATTGACAGCCAAATGCAGCTAACTGAACCAGTACTGTTGTCAGTGCAAGTTTTACCACAACTTCTAGCCTATGCTGTATCTTAGGAATAGTTTGACAGTTTGGGAAATTGTCTTATTTGCTTTCTGGCAGTGAGTTAATGACACCACTCTTGTATCTGTCTGTTAAATATGAAGCTACATTAGTGTAACCTTACTGTGCCACGTGGTTTGTTACACAGAACCACCTGGGAAGTTGTTGTAAACTCCAAAAAAGGGCAGGCACTGTCTCCCACATGCTGCCGTAGATAACAGTAGTTCCTCATTGGATGTGGAGTGGTCTGGGACCACTGTGATTTGGACTCAAGCACATAGCTTGATGCCTGGAAAGATGTAGTCTCACGTGGTCTTATGATTTGGTGATCTCTCTTTAGTCAAGCTGCCTTGCAAGGTCATTAGTGAGCTCTAAAATCTATCTTGTTTGTTTAATCTATACAAAAAGTGTAACAACTTAGGTTTTTACACTGAGTGGGACCAGTAACTGTATGGAGGCTCAGGTGGTTGCCTGGCAACTGCTCCTAGCCAAGAAATAGTACATACCTGCTATGTAAAACTGAATTTACATTTTTCAAACAAATATGATCATGTGTAAATTAGTGAGCTTTAGAGGTGCTTGTTGTCAGATTTTACCTTTGGACAGAGCCAGGCTAGCTGTTTCCCCTTGTTTTCAGTCTTTATGCTAAGCTAAGCTAACCAGTGGCTTGCAGATACGACAGCAGTGTTCATTTTCTTATTGAACTTATATAAATAATAAAGATTATTTTCCATGTTGAACTAGTTCTTTAATTGGCTTTCTTTTTGGCTTCATTGAAAAAACATGGTGAAAGTTATCGGTCCATCAGCCTTTCACTCCATCTTGTTACATTTTTGTGGAATAGAGCAAACCAACATTTTCCTCTGAAGTCTGACTTGAAAGACAGCGTGTACATATTAATAGAGGCTGGTGATGTTTGTTTACACGGATTATTCTTGTGCCTCAAATGTTATAATGTGACATATGATCTTTAAATTGCTCAGTGTTGTTTTTGTGTTGAAGTACAGTACAAACCAAGGCTGCAGTCTATGATGTTCTCTTTCTGTTGCTGCAGTTTATCTGTAGCCGGCTCCCAGTTCTCCAAAGTATCATTAACTGTGCTTTGCAGGGCCTGACTCTCTAATTGCACCTCAGAGCTCTTCAGGGAACATTTAGACTAACTGAGCTGTAATTGAAATTTCCAGCTAATAATTGTTTTTCATTGCTATTAGGAAATCCTGTACCAAACGTTTTACAGCTTAGCTCCATTTTCAGCCTCAGCTAGCACCACTATTGCATCATAAACTGCTATTTGATAATATGATAATCGGCTGAAAACAAAACAGATGTGATGACATTACACAAGGCTGCATTGGAAGTGTTTTCACCATCCTGCTGAAACTGAAATGTGCAGTTCCTTAATCCCTAACCTCCATGTAACAACTGATATCCCTTAGAGTTTACAGATACAATTGGTAACCAGGAAGTGAAAGACTGTGAAAGACACTTTGTCGAGTCTGAGAAAATAACATCTTAGCTTGAGCTTGGAGACTTCAAATTTATAAGCATGTGTCTAACAAATGTAACTCTTAAGTTGCATTACGGAAGTGTAGGATCCAGGTATTTTAGAGCTTGACCAATAATACGACCTAAAATTCCTGATATCTCTTCATCTACTGCTTGATTTTGACACATCTTCTTCTAAATCTGTCTCTTGTGAGTCCATCAAACGATATGGAAAAACAACAGTTAATTGAAGGAGTGCCCCTTTAATAAACAAGCCACTATGTAGCACAAGGGACTCCATAAATAACAGTATTATAGTACATGGGATCTGATACATAAGGGAATAGGAATTTGCACTTTTATGAAAGTGCTAGGCAGTTATTAGGCAACTCAGAATAGTAAAAAAGCTTTTTAACAGTACCCACAAACCCAGTCTCCTATTCAACGGCTTCTTCCTAATCACAAGTCTCCAACAGTTATCCTTTGGCACATCATCCAGTCTGAGAGATTCTCCTCTCCCTTGCATTTGCTGTGGAATTATCAATAAGATAAGAAAAGATACGATAGACTTTATTGATCCCACACTGGGGAAATTCACTTGTTACAGCAGCTCCAGATAGAACATAAAGAGAAAAAAAGAAATACACATTAAATAACAAAATAAAATAGAAAAATACAAGTTATAAAGAAAAAAATAGAAATACTACAATAAGACAGTTTTGTTGAATTACTGATTGATATCAGACTCCACACACATCAGAGCACATGATAGCATGTTTCAGACCTCAGAATCTGCTTTATTATCACAATTCCATATATTCGAATAAAGAAACAACACACAACAAACAGTAGATACATCCATGTAAATAGTTTCCCGTATTAAGGACAATGGTATTTATAGTGGCCTATCCAAACACTTGGTGCGTGACAGTGAGGCCTCAGTTCAGTTAACGGTCAGTGTTGGGAAATAAGCCAAGAGTCAGTGTGACAGATGTTCTGAGAGGAGCTCTGAATGACCGCTAAACTGAAGCTAATAACCAACCAGTAAGGAATGACTCATTGCTCTCATATTGTCTCCCCTCTAATGGCACAGAAAATATAAGAATATAGATAGCAGATTATAAAAATGAAGCAGGATGGAACAAACTGTAAAAAGACATAACAGTGAACCTCTCCCCACATGATACTGAAATAATGTGTTTTAAGAAGAAGCAGTACAAGATCAGTGCAACATGATCATTCAAATATATATAAAAAATACACCATATCTAAAAACTGTATGGCTGCCTGCCAGGGCTTAACCTAATTCAGAACATAAATCATAAACAGGAAATAAGCACCCAACTGTTTATGTTGTAGGGTCACAGGGAGAACACACACACAGGCAGATAATATGCCCATCTGTCACCACAAAACACACATTTTAATCTCTCTTTTACCCAAACAGTTGACCAGATTTGGGAGATTTGACTTCAAACAGCACTTGCTTTTAATGAAACCACAGGATAATGGAAGCTCTTTGGTAAGAGAACCAACCTCCTCAATCTGCCAGCATGTCCATCTAGGAATTTAGCTTGCTCAAACATCCTCTGCACCATGCCAAATCCAATTTTTAGACAGAAAATGTGCACCATGTTTATTTGGCGGGTTTGTGGGGGAGAGCTCTATTTACAATGTGTTTTGTTTCTGAAGCAAAAGCAGGAGCAGGATGGTGATCCAACCAAACTGAGGCTGCAGAGGAGGGAGACAGAGACCTCATCACACAGTGACAGGAAGCACGTCAAGGCCTCACCAGAGAAAATGCTGACATCCATCACTGTATGTCATGCACTCTACAAAGCTAATGTTAATACAACCAGTTTTAAGTTCATGGCACTCTACATTTGCTGTGGTTCACACCCAGAGGAATAACATCTGTTAGCAGCCAGACACAGCTGTCAGCCCCACACCTGTTCAGTGAGACTGCAAACTATCAATCAAACTATCATTTGCCTTTTTACAGAAAGGGCTCTACAGACTAGTGTTGAAATTAGCACTAAAAATAAAGCATGGGCTGACAGCTCTAACATGTATACAGATGTTCTGCCACCTTCTTTGGCTATAGCTGTGATACAACAGTGTTTATTATTATTATTTTAAGATGTATAATATATATAAAGGGGAATCACATCTAGACCAGACTCGCATTACAGACATTTGCATTCATGTACTATAGTCAAAACATTCATTTATTTACATTTTGGGTAGCACTTTATAATAAGGGTGAAAAACACATGCTTAATTAAGTGATGAGTCATGATGATTTGATGCATGAACAAAGGCGAGTGCATTATGAATTCCTATTGCTCACAGTTCCATTCATGTTCAAATCCATTCATGCAGGGTGCATACATGTCAGCTAAATTTTCCTGAAAATAGCCTAAAAGCTCAAGAGGAAAACTTGATCCTGTACATATATTACACTGGCGTGGATCAATGTCAGTGAGCTGTCATATTATGGAAACAGTTTTATCATCTGATAGCTGATGGGAATCACATTACAGATATCATTTATGACTAGTCTAAACATGTATTTATGATATCTCTAATTACTTTTTGTCAACACATTTAAGAAATCTTTAATTACATTTTGCACTGTCGAATTCTGTAACTCTATGATAATCGTAAAATATCCTTAATTATGCACAACTAATGCAAGAGTCATGATGATGTAATGCATTAATTAATGCAGATGTATCATGAATTCTCATTGCTCACTATTAATAAAAGACCAAGTCAGGGAATGTAATTAGTTAAACGTACTACAAGGAGTCTCAATTTGATACTGAGGCCTCTATGACCTACATAAACACACAAGACTCTCAGCGTGAAGTTTGGCTATTTCTATTTCTATATATATATATTTAACCCTTTTACGTGTTGCTATATAACCTACAGGTCTGTCACATATACAAGTTAGGGGAATGGCATGTTTTTCAAAGGTTTTCGAAAATGCAAAAAAAACCAGTTTTATATAATATAATATAATATATTATTATATTGTAGCTTTGTGGCTGACAGAATGGCAGTGACAGTCAGTCAGTCCAGCAAAATGAGAGTTTTGTACCCTTATTATAGAGTGTTTTTAAATCACCTATTAATGATGATCTATTAAGAGTTAACTAATCTAAAGTCACATTGACTTGATCATTTGTTAATGGTAAGCAACAGGAATTCATGATACATCTGCTTTAATTCATTCATCATGGTGACTAACGCAATATGCATTCATTAAGCTTATTTTTTGTACCATCATTGTTACCAATTTATGAGTACTCAAAATTAATGTTTTGACTCGTCATAAATTACATCTTTGATTTGATATCCATTAAGCTTTTAGATGATAACACAGGCAGCTCACAGACACTGCTCCACTGTGTTACATATCAGTGTGTACCTCCGGACGGTTGTCTTCTAGTCTACAGCGTAAACCCTGTATCCAGATTCTTGTCAACCACATCACTACTGCCAACATCCTTCAATTATATGCATTGGTAAATTAGGATATTTTGAATTTGTCTACTTTGTGCTTTTAATACAATCTTATCATTCCCAGCAATTTTAGAAGAGTGTGTCTGAACATTTTAGAACCCAATTGAGTTAAATCATATTTGGGTTTTTTAAGCTGCATACTGGTGCATTTTAGATGCAGCCCATCCAGAATGTTACACTTCAGAAACTGTACTTTGATGGACCAATGTAAATGTGGTCATGGTGTGAAAGTCTCTGTACAGGAAGAGGAAGTTCAAAGCTGAGGTAGCACAGGTAGTTGGGGATTAAGCTCACCACACACCTCCTAGGTCTCAGCTATAAAAAGCAAGGCAACTCTTGCAGGATTAAGCATTGTGGTTGCCAGAGGAGCTGCGTGTCCCAGCATAAACGGAGATACTGAGCTGTTCCGTCACATGAGGAATCAAACACAGCAGCTTAGGGCCCTGACTCAGCTCTCTGGTTGGTTAGCTTTCTCTTTTGTTTGCCTGTAGTGGAAGATAACAAATGACAGAGGACCAAAAGCATATAAGGAAGAATAAAAATGTGACTTTATGTTTTTTACTGTGCAGAATGGAAAAACACAGAGAGATGAAGCAGTGAAGAGAGAAGTTGGTGGAGGGAGGCGATTTACCAGTGGACACAGGCGGTCCAGTAACTCTCTGGAAAGCCTCTACAGCCTCAACAGTGGACAAAGCTCCTCAAGTAAGCACCTTTAGGCAGAGGGCCAGGTGTACTCTTCCCACCACAACCTGATGAATTATGCAATCCTTGCTTGTATCCTGTTACTCCCCTTCAGGTGGACTAATTTGTAGAGCTGCACTAACCTCAGACAAATCAAAACCCGAATCCTTGACTCCTTGAGAGTTGGGCTGTCTTACTACTGATGTGTGGATGACTTCATTAGGAAACGACAGTATTGAATGAAGTAATTAACTTGGCCCTTTAATGAACCCTCTTGTCTGTCTGCTCTTCCCCAGGTGGAGTCACCAGTGGGTCAGACTGCTCCAGTAACAGAGACAGTCTGAGGCTGGAGGACGATCTATTGTGCACAAGACAGTTCTGTGGCAGAGCCAGAGTTCATACTGACTTTGTGCCAAGTCCTTATGACACAGAATCCCTCAAACTCAAGGTAAACAAGTCTGGAAAGTAAATGGAAATGAAACAAACTAACTGTATTACTATAATTGTATTATACTGAGGCTGGACTGCTATAGATTTTAGGATGACAAATACTGGCCAATATCTTCAGGAGTTTTTAGCCAAGCTAGCTGGATGGCACTATTCATAACAATGTTGGTCGGTTCCCAGACAATGAATCCTGATCCCCAAGACTTTATCTATGGCTCACCTATGTGATTGACATTTTCTGGGATTTCAAAATCCCTTCCTGTCAATTAAAGTAATAAATCCACAGGCTCTAGATAAGACCTTTCGCAGTTTTCGGCCACCATAGTTTCTCCTGCATGCTTGGAAGGGGAGGGTGAAGCGAGGGTGTTCTAATACACCACTAGATGCCACTAAATCCTACACACTTCTCCTTTAAGACTGACTTGAAAAATTGTTCTTTAAGTAAAATGACTTGACCGCTATTGATGGATTAGCACAAAATGTTGTTCAGACATTCATGGTTTCCAGACACTGTATGCTAAAGAATTGGTGATCACCTGACTTTTTGTCTAGCATGACCATGAGGTTGACATTTACTAACACACATTCATTCATGTTAGCATGCTAACATGCTAACCTCAGATGGTGCACATGCATGGTAACAAAAACTTATTTCATTGACTTTATTTTGAACTTCTATTTGTGTTAAATGTTAGTTAATGTTAATTAGTAGTAGCCTAATGTGTGCAAAGATGGAAAGATACAGGTGGTACAAAGCATCTCCTCTCTGTGTATGAGATTAATGTTTGTTGTACATGGTTCCAGTCAAATAAATGTAATAAAACTAAACTTCTATTCAGGTGGGAGATGTGATTGACATTTTCGCCAAGCCCCCCATGGGAATATGGACAGGCATGCTGAACGGCAGAATGGGAAATTTCAAGTTTATTTATGTGGATGTGCTAACAGAGGAGAGTCCTGATGCACACGAGGAAACCCAAACCCACAGAGTGAGACAGAAATCAACTGTACAGGAAGTGTTAAGGCGCCTCAGTTTGGAGGTATTTTGTTCTTGAATTAAATGTAGCAACAATCATCTTCCATACCAGAGCATACATCAGCTTATTTTTTTTTTCACTTTTCCACTTCACCAGGAATATTCCTCGTCTCTGCAGCTGAACGGCTACCAAACAGTAGATGACTTGATTAAGCTGAGGGAGCATCACCTGACGGAGCTGAATGTGACTGATCCAGAGCACAGGCATCGTCTGCTCGCCGCTGTCGACTCCCTGCAGCAACTGCGCTGTGAGTAATGGGAAACACAGAAAAGGTCACCCAAGGACAGTGTCATCACGCTCATTTTGTGACATGATAAAACCAGAAAAAGATAGGCTGAGACGTTTGGATTCAGAAAGGGAAAGGGACAAGTGACATTGCACCTCAAGTAGATAAGACTGGGAGGGTATCCGGGCCACAGCTAAAGAAGTTAAGGATAACAGGATAACCCCAAAGAGCATTTCTGAGAATAGAGCAGGACACACGAGGACAGTAGCTGCAGACAGATAGGTTGCTGAGCCTTAATGCACAGGAATAATAGCTGTAAAGGATTACTTCCATCTCATCTATTCAACTCAGTGACAGTGCATCCAACCAGCGTGCCTTCTCTGCTTTACAGCTGATAGTCAGTTGGAGAATGAGGCCAATCAGGAAGCCGAGACCCCCAGTGAGAACATGAGGGCAGATATGAACAACTGCCCAAGAGACTCAGGCTGCCACATGCCATCTGACAGCCCCGACAACAGCACAGAGGACACAGACCTTCACTTTATCTCTGAATACCCTCTACCAGCTGAGACGACAGCTTCCTGAGAATGATCCAGTCCTTATATTGCCTATTTTACTTCATATGCTGATGTTGAGATGACTTGTGAATCAAAAGCTGTTTTTTTATTATTATTATTTCTTGTGACAGTGTAATTTCTAATTATGTACAATAAAAATTCCCAAATGCCGGACGTGTCTCTATAAATTCCAAGATGTTCACTTGTTTCTTGAGATGAAAGATTTTATGAATCTGTTTTCTCCTGTAGCTCAGTCATATTTTTACTGGGGCCTATAGCCTAATAGACATCAGAGAGAATCCCAATGACAACAACAAACCATTCCATTAAGGGTAGATTATTTTAAGTAGATGTCTAATTGACTGAAACTAACAAATATTTTCATTATAGGCCAATCTGCCAATTGTTTTCTTGATTAATTGATTACCTGCTTGTTCTACAAAATGTTATGAAATTATGAAAAATGCTGCTTACAGTTTCCTTAACTAACTAACTAACTAACTAACTAACTAACTTTAACCAAGCAAAAATCCAAAAGATTCTCAATTAACTATATAGGACAAAGAAAAACAGCCCACACACAAAAAAATCACGTAAGAAAAGCTGCAATATATGGAATTAAGCTTAAAAGTGACTTAATCGATAATCAAAATTCAATGTAATTGATTAATTGACGCATCATGTGAGCTCTATAAATGTCCTTATTATTGATAACCTGCTACTCACAGCGTAATGATGTCATTTTTTAGTTATCCCAATAATTCAATTGAGATATGCATATTGATACTGTTGTTGTATTTGGACTTCTTAAAGTGTTGAGTAAGACACTGATACTACACATTTTCTAAGCAGCTAACATGACTCTCATCATCATAAAGTGTTGTGCATCCTGACTTCCTGTCGTAGCCAGGACTTTACCAACACACCAACAGACGATTAAAGTGACTCTCTGCAGCAAATTCTTTACATTCCTTGTTGATTTTTTTTTTTTTTAATAAACCATATGCTGCTTGGAAATGTTTCAACAGGACTAAGTCTACAGCCAGCTGTTCTGAGGCTCTAATTAGGCACAGCTGTGTTTTGAGCTAAATGCTAGTGACATCATGCTAACATGCTCTAAATGGCAACGCTAACATGCTGATGTTGAGCAGGCAGGTTGACCATGTTCACCACCTTAGTTCAGCGTGTAAGCATGCAAATATTTGCTCATTAGCACGCAGGGCTGGGAAGGTTACTTTAAAAACGTAATCCAATATAGTTACTAATTACCTGTTTAAAATGTGGTCAGTAACCTAATCCAAGTATCACACATTAAAGTAATGTAACTTGCTTACTTTCCATTACTTTTGGATTACCTCACCACCACATATGCAAATAAAGACAAAAGAAAATAATTGTCAATAAGAAGTATTGATGCAAGTGTATTCTATGACAACAGAACAATGTGACCTTAGAAAAGTAAAAATGGAAAATGGAAAGATTTTTAGCATCAAAAATGTGTCCTCTGCTCGTGTGTTTTCAAAGAAAAATGTATTACTTACTTATTTAACTTACGTATTTCAAATTGTAATCTGCTAAACTATCCCCATTTCTACTAAATGTAACTAATTTGATTACATCTTTTTTTTTGTAACTGTAAAGAATTACAGAAATATGGACATATTTGTAATGGATTACAGTTACCTTTTATTGTATCCTGATTGCGTAACTCAGTTACATGTAATCTGTTGCTCCCAAGCCTGTTAGCACTAAACAAAAAGTACAGCTAAGCTGAGGTTGATGGGAGTTTTCATTAGTTCTACAGGAATTTGGTCACAAGCCAAAGTAAATGTAAATGACTTGATGGTGGTGCTAGATGAAAAGTCAGAAGATCAAAGTTATTACAATTCACACTGAGGAGGACATTAATGTATGTACCAATTAGAAATTAACCCAATAGTTGTTGAGATATTGCACTCAAAACCCCAAATGTCAACCTCATAGGGGTGCTACAGGAAATGTCAAAATGATTCATCCACAAGGGACCTTAAATATTTGTTACAAAATTTCAAATCCATCCACCAGTTGTTGAGATAAATTGGTCTGGATCAAAGTGGTGGACAGACTGACCAACACTGCCACCCGCAGAGCCACACTGCTGGCATGGCTAATAATTCACATTCATTACAAATTTATGTCTGACTCTTAGGCATGCTGGTAGAATGCATGGAAGTGTTAGAGTAGCTCAGTTTTCTGATGATTCCAACATCTGTTACCCAATTTTTATTTCCATTTTGAGTATTTACTTTTTGTACCATTAGTTTGGTTTGTTACAAATCTTCCACAAAAGACAACCTGCACATTTTTCAAAGAGAAAATATCACTTTTATTGAACAGTTGACATGTCTGCAGCTAAAGGAGTAATTGTAACTTCAAATTTGTACCCCTATTATTAAACTAAGACAAAAATATTCTAAAACATTCTAGCAGTCCATTAATTTAACAAAAAGGCAGCCATGTGAAAGTTGTAATAGCTAATATGACTACATGGGAAATCAATCATGGCATGACAGAAGAGGCAAAAAAAAAAAGGATTGGACCACAATATATTCTCAAACTTCCCCAAACCCCCTCACCCCGTGAAACTGTTTTCATGTATGCCTTATGTGTCTTTCACACTTAGAAGAATACATCAGTAATAATGATAATAAATGCAAACATAAAATATACATTCCACATGTCCAAACCATTTAAAATCCTCTCAGAGGGAAACAAATAAAAACATGTAAAACAACTCATATTTACATCAGTTTATAATGCAGAACACTACACAGCCCATTCCCTCTGTTATAAAACAACAGTGAAGTCAATGACATGGAAAAATATAACATTACAGCAACATTACAGCCTTTATTAGCTCAACTTCTCAGAAGGTCACTCAAGCAAACAGATTGAACAGAGGTTTTAACTCATGATAGTCAGGTGGATTTTTGGCCCAATCTCCACACACACACACACACACACACACACACACACACACACACACACACACACACACACACACACTGAATGTATCTATTAATAATGCTGTCTGAGTGGCATTGTGTAATTTTTCTCTCCAATGAGAAAAAGTTCCTACATTCAAATGTGATTTTGAAGTTGTTTAAAAATTATGGTTAGAAACAAATGTTTTTATAAATTCTAGTTTCAGCCTGGTCAAAGAATTCAGCTGATTCAGCAGAGATACCATCTGACTTGAGACATTTGCCCTTTAAGTGATGACAACATAGACACATATCATCCATGTATTCCCAGTAAGGCTCCTTACTGACTTTTGTGCGCAAATTTATAACACTGAAAGTAAGAAAATGACTTCTTACAGTAACAAAACTGTGACCTATTTTTGAGGAATGTGTTTCAGACTGGCAGTCATGTGCATTATTATGAAAAAAATACACAAACAATCATATTACATACATATATTACATAGAACTTGTACACAAACAAGAGAATATTGTGTTATTTTAAAAAACTGATGATCAGTAGGCCAAATAGGAGAAACTCTAGACAAGATTTGGTATCCATGCTGTTATCACTTCCAGGGTATGTTGGCTAACAGGTCAGTTTCTGTGCTGTGCTTCTTTTTACCTCACACAAGAATATAACGTTCAGTCAGTAAAGCTCTGAAATCAAACTAACTTCAGAGATTTTTCCAGCTGTGGCAGTGTGTTGCGTTCAGCGACTGAGGCCTCCATGAGAGTATCTCGCATAACCATTCTCAGGATACAGAGAAAGCTCCTCTGTGCTGCTGAGCCCATTGTTCAGTTCTGAAAAAGATGACAGAAAAATGATGGATGATGCCATAACTCTCTTTACTGAACAGAATTCTGATATACTGTACTTGATGTAGATGGAAATTATTTAGTTGGATTACATGAACAGCTGATATTTAAATACAGTACCAGCATATATGTTTTTAGTAACCACAATATCTCACTTCACTTAAACTATTCATGCAAAGCCAGCAAAAGCCACCAATTCTAAAATGTTGAACTTTGGCACCCCCAAGTGGTAGTGTCATAAAATCCTAAAAGTGTAAACTCAGGCTTCCAGGATCCAGGTTTGAAAGTGACTGTCCCACATTTACAAGTAGTCTATTTATGTAATATACCTCTGGTAATTGCCAACAGTGGGCTGTTAAAACTGCAGTGTAAAAGTTTATTAGAACACACTGGAAGGAACATTTGTATAGAAATTACTGATAAAAAGATACAATATTTATGCCCCCTTTATTAGTGCAGTGGGGCAGAAAAATAACAGAGGTTACAAAAAGAAGTTATGCGTTTGGTACAGTACTGTAGTTGTTTGTTTTAATAGGAGAACTACGTATTGTTGTTTAAACAGTTTCCTGATGAGGTTATGGTCTCAGTTGGTACTTTCAGTCTTCTTCCATACAGGATGTTCATTTAGTAAATTATGGTCCCATTTAGAGTAAAATAGACGATAAAGCCGTGTATGCTTTTGGGCGGGGGTACCTTTTGATTGACAGGTCAATCTATGTGTCTGTCCAGCTCAACCATTGACAGTATATATAAGAGCTCAACGAACCAAACTCAGATCAGACTGTCAAACTAGGCATTCTGTTACTGTGTTGACTAATTCTCACTAAAAATAGTTTCAGAAACATATACTGTGTAATGTTTAGCGGTAATACGAGATTGTGTGTGACCAAGCGAGCCGCCATTGTTTCCTGCTATGGATGAGTCAAAACTGTGCAGTTAGTGAGAGCAGCTCAGTGCTATGTGCTATGATAATGGGTCAATGTCAAATGTCCTCCACAGGAGCGGATTTGCTATTTATTTATGTATTTATTCCCACCTGAATTTTATGTATGTTTGCTCTGTTCAGTTACATCCTGAGCCATTTATTTTCAGTTGTGTATGTAATCAAGGCTGCACCTGAGAATATTAGCTTCTCCTTCATGATGTTGACGTCCCGACTGGACCGACGCGCCACAGCGCTCAGCATGATCTGTTCGGGGTTATAGGTCTGCATCCCGCTCATCCTCCACCTGTCACAGCACACACAGATACAAACCATTACAAGCACATACAGGCAACAATTCCAACTGTGTCATCAAACCATACAAATCATTAATTGTGGCCTTTCAGATACTGGTACACAGAAACAAATACGTACATTTAATGGGATGTACATTGATAAACAAGAGGTAAACAAGTTCAGTGAAAGGAAGGAAGTAAGGAAGGAAGGAATCTGCCTTGGGGTGTCGGGCAGAGAAAGCACAAGGAGGACAGACAAGGCAGCAGAAACAAAGGCCAAGGCAGTCACAGCAGTTACCTGATCATATGATAGCTGACAGATGCCAGGGGCAGCGGAGGAAGGTTGCATGCAGATCAGGCAGAGCACAGGACAAAGTAAGAATGTCAAGAGAGAAAGAGAGGACAGAGGGGACAAAGAGAGGTTATAGCATGGAGGAGAAACATGGAAACATTCAGAAAACAGCAGGAGAATAGAACAAAAAATAGAAAGAAAAGAGCAGAATGAACAGTCAGAAGAAGCAGACAGAGAGCTCAGGTCCACTCAATACGCAGTAAACTAAATGCACACAAAACACTTGTTTACATGTGAAATGTTGTTAATGTATTCAGATATGTATCCTGCCTACATTTAGATAATAACTGATTGAATACATACTGAAAGTTACGAAATTTCTAATGCAAGTAAAACACATTTACTGTATTTCTTCAGAAAATTAAGCCTAACTGTGTTCGCTAAAGGAGATAAATGTAAAATATAAAATATAACCTAAAACTGTAAAGATACTATAATATAATATAAATATATTATCTTTATAAAAATGCTCATCCATAACAAAAAACCCCTAACTGCATGGCTCACTCAAATGTAATAAAAAAAAATTGTATTTGTTCAACTCAAATAAATAATCATATTTAGCCTTTATTTTATTTTTTACAGGCCTAAGGAGGTAATTATCTAGTGACTCTCAAGAAGATTAGAAATAATAATAAATTAAAATAAATTTTGCGTAGCAGAAATATGTTTTCTTCTGTTATCTTGTTAATCCTCTTGCGACCCCCAGGTTGGGAGCCACTGAACTAAATTATACTAGATATCACAAATGCTTTATGTAAGTGCTTAAACTAAATGCAATGATGCTCATTTAGAATAGCCAAGCTGGGAGAATAAATATGCTGAGTGTTAAATGAATTTCTGTGTTTGTTATTGTTTTGTGATTTTCAGTATGTTAACAGTCCAAACTTACTTCTGAAAACAGAAAATCCCTATGACTACGGCGAGGGAGACCAGATCCGAAGTGATCCAGATGAAGTTGTAAGCGTTCTGGCTCTGCAAGACAAGAGAGAGGAAAGTAGTTTCCAGCTGACGCCAGCGGAGGTCACCATTAACATGCATGTCTCCTAAAGCAATCACATGGCCCTGACTAAAGCAAAAGCCTGCCAGACAGCTGCTTTTTCACTTCAGATCTGTGCCCTTGTCTCAACCTGTCCCGCAATCTTTCCCAGGGTCCTGTTGTTCTCTAACGCCACGCTGAGCTAAAGTCTGCCGCTGAGCTCCCTCATATTTCTCCACGTCCTTGCCCTCGAGTCTTGCTGGGCCCTCGTCAGTCTTTGTCCTCTCTCCTGCTGTCCTCTCGTCTCGCTGTGTGACCTTGTCTGTGCCTGTGTGTGTGTGTGGTGTCAGATGAGAGGCAGAGAGAGCAGAGCTGTTTACCATGAGCCAGATGGGGTAAGGCACCTTTCGGAGGACTTGGGGGGCATCAGAGGACACAGAAGGCACCCCGCTACACCACAGAATGGAGTAGAGCCAGGGCTCATTCACTGGGTAGACAGTCACACTCACATTATTGGCCAGATACTCCCTGGGGAATAGAAAAACACATGTCAAAATCTTCAACTCTTCCCTCCTCCTCTCCTTTTTCACACCACAGAAAATGGCATTTTAAATGTTTTGTGTCAGAAAAGCTGTGAAAGCTCCAATATTTCATCTGTGTCCCTGATGAAGGCAAAGTGTATGAAAAGAGTATGCTGTGTCTGCATTTTAACATATGCAATAAGGGCCCCCGAAATTCCAGTCAGCTTCTTGCTATGAGTGATGGGGTTCTATATGAGCACACACGTTCCTGCCACAGTTTTAGTTGTGTCACAGAAGTGATTTTTCAGGGAATTTTCTGTTTTTTCTGTTCTCTTCTCGCTAGTTTGAAGTAGATGGGGCTCACTTAGGAAAAAGTGAAAATACATATTTTCCCTTTTACCCGTGGAGCTATTTATCCATCTAGATTGTTTTGGTGTAAGTTTCAGAGATATTGTCAATAGAGATGTCTGCCTTCTCTCCAATATAATGGAACTAGATAGCACTCATAGCACTAGTGATACGTGTAAATAAAATACTTCCTACATGAAATTGCTTACAACAAGATCTGTGGATTATTTTTCAAATGTAGGAAGGAGCTGTAGTAGAGTTATACCAAAATGTGCTGAAAACAAAATATCCACATTATTTACATGAGGGAGTCCGAAAATGTTTTAGATAATGCTTGAGGCACCACACAAAGCCCCCTCTTATCTCTTTCATGACTTATTTTGAGCACTGTTTCCTTGTTGCCGAGCAGTGCTCTTACTGTATGTCTTTGTGGCTGGCCTTGCTGTAGTGGAGGGTCAGGCTTGTTATTCCCCTCTGCCTTATCTCTTCCACTGACAGCTTCTCGTTTGCGGTCTGCTGAAGCCCTCTCACTCTCCCCCTGTCCGTGTCAGGGGTCCACGTCACCTGGCACAAACACATATGACAAAGGAAAGACCCTGATCAGACAGAATGCAGGATGTGCTTCACATTCAGAAATGTTACACCTTAAACGGTGCTACTTGTAGAATTACAAATATTTGTATGAATATGTTTCCACAGTATCCTTCATAGTAACACACTATGTATACTGTAGGACAATACCTGCTGCCAATGTCAGTGACAGTTGCTAATGTACTCATGATTTACAGTACTACAAGCAGCACCTTTATGTAATCGAAAGGTTATAATGGAGGGACCTACAGTCCTCACCCTCTTCTGGGAAATCCCTGCTTTCTGCACAGCCCACAACGTGTCCATGAACCAGTTCCGGGAGCGTGGGTGCTCTGGTGGAGGCTTGCGGATGTTGAGCAGTGCAGAGCTGTTGGACCTGGCTGTGAGACGCAGCATTTCCAGCAGACTGCAGACGGTCTGGTTGCCTATTCTGCTCCGGTCCCTCGCTGTCAGGGTCTCTACTGTCCAGTAGGGGTCACTCTGGAAGCAGAGACAGCAGCAGAGAGGCTGAGATGTAACATGCACTATGTTCTTCTGTTATATGGTTAACGCAACATGAACATTTCCTTTGGAAAACCCTTTGTGTAGCTTATTTGTGCATTGTTTTATAGACATTAGATATTACATTTAGACTTTTATATTGTTTTATCTTTTTGTCTTTGCATCACTATTCTAATGGAATGAAATCAAAGCATCTGCACACTTTAGTCGAAGAGACCTTCATCTTCAAAATCAGCACTGCTCCACTGCAGTTATATTCCAGAGCCTTGAAATGTTTCTTTTTATTGGAAAAACTAACAAATTTCTATAGCACTTAAGAGATTTCTACAGCTGTTTTTCTGTTAAAACTGTAGCTTTCACTCCATTTTATAGTCGGGGAAAGTCCTTGCATCATATTTTATATACAGTGTCACCACTGTACAAATAAACTTCATTCTGCAGTACCTATGCAATTCCTCCTGGACTCCCCTCTCCAAATTTTCTGTTGTAACTGAATATGATGAGCAATGTAGTGCCAATCAAGTTCACTATAGCTGTGATGCAATCTGCATGAACAAATTAGGTTGAGTTGAGTGGACATGGATTTCAGTACCTCCAAAAACCAATGGCCCGCGTTTAGAGAGCGGATCTCCGTCCAGTTGAAGAAAGAGGCGTCTTCATACTGCCTGGCTGGAAAGACCTTACTAACATCTGTGGTTCTCCTCAAGGTGCGGTCTCGCATAAGGAAGGGAATCCCGTCCACACTGGAAGAGACAACACAGTCATACTTTACAACTTAAATTATGATTCACAGTAGTACGTACTCTCAAAACAGCAGCTCAGTAAATAATATAAAAATACACACTGTTGCTGCATCTCTCTCATTCAATTTAAATGTTTCTACCAGATAACCTTCGTCAGCTGCGGGATCTATATGTGGAACTTCAGAGCTCACTAAATTCATTAAATATAGATAACCCAGGATTCAAATGTGATTAATGAGTGGTTTATAACCTGATAGTGACGTCTGCCTCCAGGGAGTTTGCTCCATGCTGCAGGGCTCTGTTAAAGGACACCATGGTGTTCTCTGGAGCCAGCTAGAGCAGAGAGGAGACAGACAGGAGAAATACTGTCTGTCACTTTGTGCAGACAACACGCATCAAGGGGAAGTGATGGAATTGTAAAATAACATTTAAATAGGGAGGCATGATTTATTGAAAACACATTTTCAAATGAAATGATTAATAGTCAAACCAAGCTACAGTAGCTAGTCATTTACCATGCATGTCTACACACCACATTTGGTTTATTTACAGAAATCCTTTATGGAAAAAGACCAGTGGGATACAATACTCACCGATGCATTAACTACATGTTTGGTCAAAACTGATGATCAGATTTTTTTAACATTTGTTTTACAAAATTGAAAAATTATTATTCCATAGAAATGTTGAAGTTCCATTAGAACAGCATGCAATCTATCATCATATACATAAAGGTTTCAGATTGAGAGATGTGAGCTTTGACTTTAATGGATCATAATAATACATGAATAATTCAGATGGCAATGGGTTGATGTTTTTAGTCATAAAAACAATAGAGCTGCAACGATTACTCAATATATCTATTCATTATCAATAATTAAATTAATCGGCAACTACTCTGACAATCGATTTATTGCTTTGAGTTTGTTTTATGAAACAAATGCCCAAATTCTCAGATTTCAGCTTCTTCAGCATTTTTCTGACATTTTATGGACCAAACTAATCAATTAATTGACAAAATGATTGATGGATGAATTGAAAATGATAATAATAATTAGTTACAGCCCTAAAAAATAATAACTAATGACATATGAATTCCATCAAACATCCAAAAGCATTTATTTAAAACCTCCACACAGCTGAGGCTGAGGTTCTGCAGAGAGGTGAAAGCCAGGTGGTTTTTGTGATTTGTGTGTACGTGTATACTGTATGTGTGCATGACCGTGTGTGTGTGCCTTTAGAGGGCAGGAAAACCTAGCTCTGAACATCACTGTACATTTGTTTACAGCCAGTCATCTGGAACAGTATTTGCTCGCCCAGCTGTGAAATGTCAGTTCAGTGTGTTGTTGGCTCTCATGCTTACTGAGCCTGATAACAGTGAGCTCATGTACTGGAGCTGTACCACCATATAGTACAGCAGAGGCATGCACACACTCACTGTATGAACATAAATATATATATCCGCCGGTCTATGAGCAGGGGATTCTGATGTCTTGAAAAGAAAAATGATCACAAAACATATTCAAATGTAGGCCGTATTTGCTGTGCTGTTATCCAGAGTACCAGCTTGGCAGAGACATGTTCTTCCCACTGAGCTGCACATCATCCATTTGAACAATTAACTGGATCAGACAGTGAGGTCTGGCAGTGCGCCAACCCACCATAGGAGCTCCCCGTCGGCCAATGATGTCTGGTCGAGGTCTGAGGCTGGTGCGGTCCATGATGCAGGGGCAGTTGAATGTGAGTGGCGCCAGATAGAGAGCCAAGAGAATGATGACGTAGATCAGCAACACTATCACCTGGAAATCTATGAAGAAAGGAGTGAGGGGGTTTAAAGAGTCAGTGTATTCATCCTCAGCTCATCTCATCTGCTCCCTATGAGAAGAAATGTTTAGCTTTGCCTGTGTTTGGTAGTAGAATTAGTAATCAGTAAGTACCAGAAGGTAGGGGTAAATAATTTGTAATGCTGGAAAATGTAGACAATTTCAGGAAAGCACTGAAAATCTATTTTACACACACACACACATATATATATATATATATACCTACACTGTACCACACAAATACTCTAATATTGCACCTAGTAATGGATAGAGGTGGAAAACTGTGGCTTTAGTCTTGATACAATCATAGAAAATGATCTTTACCCCTTATCATGATGCATAAGCAAAATAAATCAAAAGCAGAAATCTGGCCGAGTGGTAACAAGGATCTTTACTTGAAATTCAACTCAACACTTACTGGATCTCTCTCTGCGGACCACATATCCAGCCACCAACCAGCTGATAGCTGTGACTGTTGCCAGGGCTCCAATGTGCAGGAAAGGTGCTGTGGACTGGTAACAAAACACTTGTGTTAATTGGTGGTTACTTGTTAGAGAAAGTGCAGTACAAAAGAGTACATCTCTGATAGACTGTAGATAATACAGTAAATATGTCAAACACAAAAAATGTTGGGTGCACTGTACTGTGTTGTTGGTAAGGTCAATTCACTTTCAATGATTCAATAGCCATTCTTCGACAGCTTTATCATCACCAATACACAATGCAGGAGTTTAAATTACCGTCACAACCTGATTGATACCACTCCTATATTAAATAAGCTACATAAAGCAGCAGGCTACCTTAGATTAGCATAAACAGTGAAAGCAGGGGGAGAGAAATAATGAATAATGGCGATTTGGCGCTCAGACTGACTTGGACTAGGAAAGTTTATTTTATGTATATTTTCTGATCTGAAGTTGATGATATTGTGCTGCCATTCTTCAATGGTGATGGTAAGAATAACAGTATCTTTATTAAAGTGAATAAGGGATGAACTCCCCTTATGCACAGATCATATACATCAATAGTAGCCGAAGTTTGTGCATAATCCATGACGATGGAGATAGAGAAAAATTGAAATGCATGGCAAAAATAGCATATTGTAAATAGTTTAGAGAACCCCCAAAATTTTACAAATCATGTTTTCAGGGAAGCTCATGTCTTATTAAGACCTTGTAGTTCGCACCCTGAAATGAATAATAAACTCAAAATCCTACTTCCCTCATTCAAAGGACTGATTTATGTCCCTTTATGGAAACTGCCATCATATTCAACCCATTCACTGTACTGTATGTCATTTTAGTCAAAAAGTGAAGACCAACCTGCAGTGACACAAGCAGGATGTCCCACTCATCTCCCCATATGTCTTTAACAGTGATGAGCCCAGAGATAGTGGTGAGCAGTGTAGCCAACACTCCAATCTGTAGAGACAAAACAGACAATGATGAGGTTTAATTTTATTGAAAACTGTGTGGAACAAATCCATGGCAGAAATGTAAGATGTAAATCACAGCACCTTGTGGACCCAGTAGAGGTTCAGCTGCTGGCCTAAGGATATATGGAAAAGTGCTAAGATCTGAAAAAGAAGCAAGATTCAGTGAGTTATATCATAACTTTGCAATAAGCAACAATGCAAACATTTTAGGGGTTTGAAAAAGACGGTCACCATTAAGAACGTGATGTAGCTGAATCCCACGGTGGTGGATGCGAGGATGGGGATAGTCTCATCCCTCCATTCTCCAGAGCGGTTGTATACTGACCTGGAGTGTGAACAGGTAGGGTTTGATCGATCAATGCTGATTGTAGAACTTATTAATACTTGTCAAAAGGGAGAACTTTGCCTCGACTATGCAGCTTCATAACACCAGGAACCCACTAATAAAACCCTGTTGCGGTAAGGTCAGCACCCTGCTGCGCTCCACCTCATCTGGAACTAGTTCCATTGTCACAAACAACATTTCACATTGTGGGATAACTGACTCACCAGTTGAACTCATTGAAATCATTTTGAGCCACCAACCAGAAGTAGGCCCAAAACAGAAGCAGAAGGAAAGAACTGCACAAGATGATGAACCATGTACACTCCCACTGTAAAGGAAAACACAAACAACAGTTTACCTTCTCAGATTTTACACTGAGACTATTTCAGAGTTTGCTGCTAAATTCCATACCAGGAAACTAGATTAAAGCTGCTACAATCAATATTTTGTCAGCACATGACTACATGTAATGTGAAAGGGATTGGTCATAACGAAAAACCCTTGTACTTTTGCATTAACCTTGCGAGGCAGCTGGACTCCACCATGTCAGGATTCATGCGCTTGTGTCCAACCATAGCAGTATCGTTTGGCACCAACAGCCAACAACAAACAAACTTTGCAACTAGCTGGTGAACTAGTGAGCTAGTGGAGCACTTGGCCATTAAAAAGCAAGAAAAAAAAAAAATTCCCTCAGGAGTTGGTGGAAACCAAAACCAGAGCTAAAACTGTGAATACTGTCAGAAACACTTCAATTGAATAATGTTGCTCTGTCATTGTAGGATGTAGGAATAGGATGTATAAATTGCCAATTTCTAGCTAACACAGTCAGCAAATCAACTTTAAGAGGAAATAATATGTCAGTGGTGTTTACAGCTTAATTCTCACATTTTTGTCAACTTGGCTGACAAAATTACGACACAATGAACTTGAGTCTTGCTCATAATTAATTTAATTAAGGTGTTATACTTAGTGATGTCATGGCTTCTGTTGGTGGCGCTCTTGTCTTTATATGTGCAGTCTTGGTGACTTTGACTCCTCAGGCTAACTCCCCACTTTTAGTATTTTCTCAAAACAATCTGTTGATGATGACTTCCTGTAATTTCTGCTTGCCATGGCCAAAAGCAAATGTTTTGAGTAGCATATGTATTAGTGTTATTACATAAACATGTTTTCTTGTTTTTAACCCCTTCCTATACAGTCTTCTGGCTTGACATGTGGGACAAAGGTACAGAGAAGAGCGTGTGCAGCACTCAAGGACTCTTCCCTTCAGTAGTTAACAGGATTAGGAGCTAATGCAATGTGAGGGAAGGTGTAAAGTATGATAGGCCAGTCAACACATCCTGTTGAGCATTGATCAGCTTTCACCATACTGTGTTTGGATTCACCATTTCCAGCAGCTTATGTAAGAGGCTGGGAGATAATTAGGCGTATTTGCAGGTGAAGAGCAAATGGCTGCACCAATGAAGCAGATGAGTCGGCACAGAACGACTTGTGGACTTTTTTGTCCAGGAATGGAGAGGGCATGAATATGCATCAGGGAATATCTTCTAACTTGATGCAGCCAGTGACAAAATGACAGTAGAAGTGGGGATATGACATGTAACAGTGGTGGTTTTTAATTGGTTTAGCAGGTACTTGGAGATCAGGTGACTGTAAGTCACTACGAGGCGATGAGCCAGAGTCACGTTGTCACTTAAGCAGAAACACAGCATTTCTTTTTTACCTAGATTCCGACCAGAGAAGTCAGACCCCTTTCCAAAATGTGTGACTTACATGATACTGGTTATCATAATTTTAAGTTTTCTGCATTGGAGAGAAACAACTGAACACCAATGTAAAAAATGTTGATGAGGAGAAGAAAGGACATTCAATACATAACTGCCTTTGAATAGAAGTGGGCAATATGGAGAACACTTTCTGTCACAGTAAATTTAATTCTATATCCCAATCACAATAAAGTTTGTGATATTGTACATTTTCCAGAAATTGAGAGACAAATAAAAAGCCTAAATACTAAACACACAACTAGACACAAACTGTCATTTTCATCAAATTGATGCAAAACAAGGTCAAGGACTTGCTTTGTCATACTGTCTGTGGCTCTAATAAACACATTTACTACATTTCATCCAGTCAGTGTGGGAGTTCATATCACATTTCCCAGCCTTTATCAGGCCACTCTCAGTGTGTAGTGCAAGTCATTTTCAGGGAGGCTGTGTGATGTCTGGTACTTTCTCCTGAGTGCTACATGGCCTTCAAAAGTTTCTCCATCTTTCCAATTAGAATTGCCGGTTCCCAACTTCTGACAGCGCTCATAAATCCTGATCTACAGTATGTGCTGACTTCACCATATGACGAACCTCTCCCTCCTTCTTTCCTCGGCTCATAAATGTGCAGAATGGCCTGTGTCAGACAAGGTCAGTGTCAGCTGAACATGGCCACTGATAAAGTAAGTGCCCATGGGTGTATTCAGGAAAGGAATGTGCAATGGTAGAACTAGAATAGCCATTGTTTGTACTTGTGGTTCACTAGTTAATGGAAATTATGTGAAGTCATACGTTGCATGTTACAAATGTTACATCATCAAAATGTTTCATAGATTGATGTCTACTGTGTGCTAGGACTGAGGAGGAGAGGTTATATAAAAATGTTTTTTAAACCTGCATTAGTTTCTAGTTGCACAACGAGCTCTAAACACAACATTGAGATATTGTCAAGTTATAAAGTTGATTTGGCAGCAAACCCGGTCCCAATTCCGTTGAGAAATGGTTTAGCTCCATGCAACTTTCAGTTTGTGTTAATTGTGGCGGCCCCTGTGGACAAAAGCGGTAGTATCTCCAATACCTCATTTAATGGATTTCAAGGGGAAACCGGCCGAATCTGATCCTGTAGCAGGCATTAAGAATATCTGTATAGAAATAACCAATCTTCTTGCTGATGGTCTTGTTTGTTTATGTAGGTCATATAGAGACATCAGTATTCATTTTAGACTGTTTCATAACCAGTTACAAACTCTTTGTGGTTTGTTTCACTGGTAAATGTTCCACTTTCCTCATCAGTGAGTTGGCCAATAATGGGAAATTTATATTATTATTTATTATTCTGATAATAATAATAGTTCTAACCCTAACCCTGACTATGTGATAGAAGCAGAGTGCTGATGATCTCTAAGAGAACATAAAACCTGAAACCCAAAGCAGAACTGAGGGTGTAATCTGTCCTTACTAATGAAGGACCTTAATAATACAATCAGTCACACATCGCTGTGTTGTGGTGTAAACACACAGCATTTCAGTGCATGAATGCTAACCTGTCTGCTTATGTGCAAGCACTGCCTGTGTGACTACACAAAGCTTTGTAAATGGAGACAGAGAGGGGAAAGAGGCAGCTGTGTGCTTGTATTTTTTCCTCTTGGTCAGCACATCATCAGTGCCAGGCTCACACATTCAGTAAATGGACTAGTTTATGGCCGAGCCACTGGCTCTTTGTAATAAAGAAGACATCCAGCAGCAGTAGCTGTGGCTGCCCAGTGGGTATCCAACACAGCTGGGTGTCTGGCTCCTCTTTACACATCCAAACACTGCACTGCTTCTGTTACTTGCTTTATTGTAAGGATCGTTTTCCCCAGTTACTAGGGTCTGGTCTCGATGTAACTTAGGAATTCAGTAAAAAAACTGGGATGACATCAACTTCTAATGGATTAGTTTTGGAATTTAAGGTAATTCCTAAAGAATTACTAAGTAATTGTAAATACTAAGTAATCAACAAGCATGTATTTTCAATTCTAGTTGAGATCCTAGTGTTTAAAGGGTGGTATTTCTATAGAGTGACGTGGAATACAAGGAATCTAAAATATTTCCATTTGGGGTGTCATGGTGGCCTGGGGGCTAAGACATGTAGACTGCAACATCTCTGGTTTGAAGACTATATACTATCCATTTATTCCAAAAAAGCTAGATATGTAAAAGGAAAAACAGACAGGAATGGAAAAAACTAAATGGATGTTCAGGGTACAAAAGGAGCCTGTAATGTCATAATCAAAATTAATGAGTGTACTTTGCACACTGTTGTGTAGTTTTTTTGTTGCCTTTCACAAAGCCTGACCTATTTATTCGCCTTCGGAACCACAACATGGAAAACAGTTCATTTATTCCTGAGGTGTGATCAGGTTTTAGTGCAGCCTCAGCAGGGTTGTGTTGTCTCATTATCAGCCTCTATGCACAGTACGTACAGTAAGCCACATGGCCACACACTCTCCACTACACCACTTTCTCGACATAAAGCTAATCTACAAGATCCCTGTTTACAACTGAACAGGAAATAAAGATAAGACTACCTTTGTTCTTAAGCCTTTATCATACAAACATTTGGGTAAACAGGATGCATACAACACACATCTCGGTCAGCATATCCTGTTTCTGTTCTCATCACTACAACCTATAAGATTCCAACTTACACTTTCTTCCTGCAGTGGTACATATTTCTGGTGCAACTCTACAGAGGGCTGATGACTGAGTTGTAGGCTAAGTGCATTAGCATTTAGCAGATGTAAATAAATACTATGGCTGAAGCACCTATGATTAACTTTCTGTACTCATACCTCCTACTACAGCTCAAGTGGGATAAGCAGCTGAAAGATGAAACCCAGGATCAGCTTTCTCTGTCAACTTTATGTTATTCTGTGTAATGCCTGATTCACTTTAGGGCAGGGGTCTCAAACTTAAATTAGCTTGGGGCCATGGCTGCTATTGTCATCTCATTGGAGGGCCTCTTCAACGTTCAAGCACTACAAGAAAGCACAGTTTGCAGTTTCTATACATTTTTATAGCAACCTTTTATATCATCTTTGTTATTTTCAGCCAAACACATTTGGAGACACCTTTGTCTTTTTCCATTATTCTGGACCAAACAATGCATGTCTGACATACACACTGTATAATGATAGAATGTTCAAAGATAAGGCTGGGTATCGGACGTCAAAACTGTATTTGGTACTGACTGAGGTGTCTGTAGCACCCAAATGTAACTAGTATTCAAAACTCTGAAAACTTGTCAATTACTAAAAGTTGGCATTGAATGGCATTGGTCAGTGTTTAGACTTCCATCAGATATTTCGTGATTTAAATCCAAATTTTGCCAATTTTCGATTATTTCACTAAGGCAACATTCTTGTACGGCTTAGACTTTTAACGTTTAAGACCTTTGGCTTCATTTGTTCAGTGAAACATGTTGACCATTCTCAAAGTGAGGGATCCAAAAAGTATTGTTTTGGTACTAATCTTCAGTATTGTATTGGCACTAGTAGCCAACTTAAAAATTCCAAACAATAACCACCTTTAATCAAATATTGATGATATAATCATCCATCTGAAGCAACTTGCAAGATGCATCTACATAATTCTAATAATAATAATAATAATACAGTAATACAATAAGGTTGTTACAGTAATACTAAGTTATTGCTATGTTTTTTTATTAATATACCAAGCAAGTAATATTTGAATCTTAATTAATATATTATTACGACGTCCCTACTCAATAATCACTTGTATTGTCTTACCTTGGAGCTGTCGTCTTGGGAACGCTGGTAGCGTTTCCAGCGGCAACCATAGATCCCAGTGACAAAGGACACAAAGACCTGCTTCTCATAGACCTGCAAGGGTTGGTGTTTCACCATGCTCCTTCAGCCTCAGCGCGCCACCAGTCCGTTAACATCCCACACAGGACTGGGAACCCTGAGGAAGATCAAAGTGTTACTGAAGAGAACAAGCTTTCAAATGATTAGCTCAGTCTTTGTACATACAATTACATTTTTCATCAACATTCCAGATCACGTCATGTTGTTCAGGTATATTTCCACAAAACACTGTGAATATGTTGATGCTCCTGGGCCTTGTGTGCAGTAACAACACCTGTGAGAGGAAGTCAACACACTACTCAATAGTGAGTCATGTCTGGGACCGACATAATAACATGGTATATGCTTTACAGTCACAGTCTTAGGATGTCTGACAGCGGAAAAGTGGCAAATAGGCAGGTAGAATCTATCTATGGGTATGACTTGATCCTTTAACAAGAAGAACATGAGTAAAGAGGAAAGATGGAGTCAGTGTGTTGCTCTCAAACTCACTTCTGCCTCAGAGAAAAGCTTGTTGCCTTGGTGGCAGGTAAAAATGTCTTGGCACAGAAGATGTTGTTTTTCATGGCTCTCTGAAAGAGAGTATCTTTTTTTTTATTTCCTTTTAGCATTCGCAGATTGTTTCTGTATGGAGTAGCTTTCAGACAGAAGTATGGAATTGCATAATTTTGGCTCATATAAACTACAGTATGTGTTATTTACGTAACGCCTTGAAATAAAACCTCACGGCATTTCTTCGTATAAAACACCTTGGTGTCCTTGGTGAGTGACAGTTCCTAAGATAATGCTGACTTTCAAAGTATGATTTTTTGTTTTTTGTTTGTTAGCAGCACGGCTCTATGGATGGCACTGTCATTCATCACTTTGGTCCAACATTTCTTTAGAGTGAGATATCTTCACTACTGGACGGTTTGCCCTGCAGTTTTCTACACAAAGATACATTGGTGATAGTTGGTGATCCTCTGACGTTTCATATTTTCAATGTGCCCATTGCTTTGGTTTGTGTCCACATACCTGCAAAACTAATCACATTCCCATCAACTTCAGCTGTACTTTGTGTTTAGCAAATGTTAGCATCAAGAGGTAACCTTAGTGACAGGTGGGTGCCATAACAAGTGGCTAGCTGCCTCATTTTGCCCACATCAACCACTGTGCCTAAGTACAGCCTCACAGAGCTGCTAGCATGGCTACAGAGTCTTATTTTATATTTTTTGTTGGACTAAGTAAAGATACTTAATAGCATTTCTGCCAAACTGTAATTAAACACCTCACTGTGCAGTTGGATGAAAATGTAGTTAGTTGCCTCAAAGCATCCATTTCTTCCAGTTCTTTGTCACATATATACTGTACACTCTGGACCACTGTGTACTACACAGTAGTTTAATTAATGTAAATGAATCAATAAATGGAAGAACAAATTGAAAAACAAAGTTCATCATATCCTGGTTTTCATGCACACAAACCCTGGATGAGCCTGTGACTCTGAGCCCCATAAAAAGGAGCGGTTTACCTGGCTAAAGTGGCAGACCCTGACAGATAGTACTGTGTCCAGCTGACTGTAGCCATTATGATCGCCTCTATGCCCATACTTAGTTATAATGCTGATCTTCAATTGACCCTCAATGGCTGAACAACCGATAGATGTTGCTTCTTGAAAGGGACATAAGGGGCAGACTAATACGATTTTCCCATGGGCCCGGGTAGGTCCACTTTATGCCAAGCCAAGCTGTGATGACATGTGTTTCCTTTACTGCCACTCAGAGCTGAGCTGCTGTGGTCCTGCTTGGCAGCAGGGTTAAGCAGGGCCCCCCTACAACAGAGCCCTGTCATCACAGCCAACAGAGTCATCATATAGAAGCGACGAGAGGGTCACAACATCAAAGCGTTGATAGGCCCAAAACTGATGAAAACAACAGTAATCACAAAGAGCTCCATGCTGAACGCTGTTGTTTACCCCAGCACTGAGGAGAAATGTGTCGCTCTGATTATGAAGGTGGAGGTGGATGAAGGTGAGCAAAGGTGCAAATCCTTTTACCACGCCACCACATTTTAATGGAAAAACACAGTTGTGCTTGCCATTACGAACAAGCCCTGTAATGGAGAGCAGCTCACCTCTTTTAAGTCATTTGAACCAAAGTCAAAAGTAGACACGGAAAGAGACAGGTCAACCTTCAGGCCGATGTTAAAGCAAGCAGTAGCACAGTTCTAAAGGAGACAACACCTTCACTGGGATTGAGTCAATGGGTTGAAAAGCCTCCCTAGAGAGTGAATCCTACTAGGGGGCAGCTGCTCACCACTTATGAAAACGGAACCAGTTGGTGCTGTAGGCACCACTGTAACCCCCGCCACGACCATGTGCATGGACCAGACCATGACAAGGAGGTTTTCGAGATAGAAAAACACTCACCCCCCCGAAACAGAAAATAACTCCTGCTGAAAACTCAGCTGAAATAAAATGTCTATTTTCTTTAATAAAAGGCAGCAATGAACAACAATTTCCTGGTCAGATAAAGAAAGATAAGTGTGTTTCCTGGTCAACGGTTCTCAACAAAACAAACTGCTCCTTTGTCCTTATCTCTGAGCAGAGAAATTACAACATGACAGGGGGACCGGGCTAAATGAGTCTGGCTGCGTCTGTATACATCACTATCACTCTTTCCATGTCACTCAATTTTCTAAGCTTCTAAAAGGCAAATATAAAAAGCATAGGCGGCGCTATTAAGAAGCTCACTGAAGCTCACTTCACAAGCTGCCTCACATAGCTAGTAGTGCTGGCAGCATCACACACTACACTGATCTGAGTTCATCCGCCATTCAGTATGCCCACATTGATGATCAAAGTAGGTTAGTTAGTTAGGCTGTCACTGTCTGGAGATCAGTGGGGAAGCTTTACTCGTTACACGTCACTCACACGAGTACACCATGCAGAATACTAGCAGTGAACTGTTCCAGCTGATTTAGAGTCTATAATTAGTAATCCGAATAGACCTTTTTCACAGCAGCCATTTTAACATGAAATTGGGTAAACACAAGTGTTACCAATGATACTAATTAAAGTTTCATTCCATTTTAGCAGAGCCTTTCCATTGCAGCACCCTGTAGCTTCCCCATACCCAACGCCATGGCACTGCCTATGAGTGAAACCAAATCTTGATTCACAAGCAGATTCATTGCAAAACAATGCAGTGCTTTGAGCTAAATGCTAACACTGGCATGCTAACATGCAAATGTTGAGCAGGTATAATGTTTACCATGTCCAGCATCTTAAAGTAGCTTGTTATCATGCTAATGTTTGTTAATTTGCCCTACACACAAAGTACAGCTGAGGCTGAATGTCATTAGTTCTGCAGACATTTTGTCTTAAAGAGTTGGATAGATAGAAATTTGACCTAATGATGGTGCTAGATGAAAAGTTAAGAGATGATCAAAGTTATTCAGCATAGTGAATCTGTTCCAAATTTCATTATGGTTTTGACAGAAAGAGCTAAAAATGCTTTTAAACATTTAAAAGAACAACAAATCCAGCTGCATGTACTCCACTTGCATTAAAATACACTCTTGTTGGGTATAACAACACATGCTGAGATGTATCATATTCAGGTTTTCTCAGGGGATCACTGTGAATGTTTATTTACAATTCATTGTTAACCTAAATCTATACAACAATCTTCAGAAGGAGGAAATTGTTATGCATACACCTTGCAGATCTGCAGTGTTTAACTGGTTATTATACAGTAACTCTCAGGTCTGAGAGCCTTCTCCTGGATTAAGAGGAGTTGGCAGATTCCCAGCATTCACATCCTGACCCCTTCCTCAAACAAGGGCCAACTGGAGCTGAAATCACAAGGGCCTTTTCCAGCTAGGTTGGCCTATTGTCTCGCTGTGGCTTTCTACCGTGGTGCTATCGTCACAGAGCTGCAGTCGTCATGAGGTCGGTCCGGGTTCAGATACTTCACTCCTCTATTGCTGCATGATTTCAAGCTTCTTTACAGTTCTTAAAATAACACAGATAAATTGTGTCTGGCACATAGTCACCTTTTCCAGTGGGTGTGAGCTTGGTCCCTAATGTGGATAAAAGGGAAATGTTTTCTCAAGATAGTCAGATGTTTTGAAGGAGCGAAGCTGTGCCGAGAACAAAGGCAATGCTTGTTGCAACACAAAATATCATAAGTAGAGGTGCAACTGTTATTGGAGACTGACATGCAAAGCATAAACTACTGTGCCTTTGAAGCAATGTCTTCAACACAAGTTGTATTTATAGTAAAACAACTGTAAGCAACAACACATAGACAATTTTGAGAACACTGAGGACAAAATAAACCTTAAATTCACCACAAAGCGGACATTTTCCTCTGAGATCACGCCCAGGGCGGGAAGCTCAAGTGCTGTTATCATAAGGATAATGGCATACTATTTGGTTACTGGTTGCAAGATGTCTAAATGTAAGGAATCTGAAATTTTTTTTTCATTTCACCACTTCCAGACTGATCAGCACAATGAATACAATGAATAGTGGAAATCCAGAGGGGCATCAGGTATATAACTCAACTCATAACTCAAGGTAAAACAATATATTTGATAACCCATTAGCTACTGTTAGACCAGGGGTTCCCAAACTTTTACATTTCAAGGACCATAATAGATCAACACTAGATCACAAACAGGACAGCACAGATGCTGTGAAATTAAATTATTTTACTTTTTCAAACTCATCTTGAGTTCTTATTTATGAAAGAGACTTTAAATATTGGGGGACAGTAATTGTGTCTGGGTTTGGTGTTAATTTATTTGTATTGATACAGTACAGAGCTTCAATCTTCTATTAATAATTAGTAATTATTTAGCACATAATGGCATACATAGATATAATGTCTATCAGAGGAACCTGATTGTTTCACATATTATCTGTCTCATGTGCTCCTGCCAGGATATAGTAAAAGTGTCAGAAAATACGAGTAATAATAATGAAATAATAAAAGTTACCTACTGCAGCTTTAAAACCATTTCTTTACCTAATTAACACCTAGCTGTTTGTACTTGAGTCTGGAAAAGTATGGAATTTTGAAATACACAATGAACCCTGAGTATTATACTAGTTGCTGTCTCTGTTAGAAGCTCACTGTGGTTTATGATATTTGCTACCATATACTGGCTGTAATGAGTCAGCAGTGTGCTGTATTTACAGCAGCAGGGACTGTACTGTTGATTGGACTCTCAGCTCTAATGTGCTATTAATTTTTAATGTATTTTCTATTTCTTTTAGCTTCTGTCACACTGTGTGTACAGTAGAGTCTCCCACCAAGAACTGCACTTTGTAAATCTGTTATTGTTGCATTCACAGCCAGCACTTCCAAACTTTTTGAGGAAGAGAGCCCTCCATATATTACCAGGTTCACCTGTACTCAGCCTACGACAAAGCTCTCTCTTGTGGGCTTTCAGCGGGCCTCTCATTCAACTGGCTTCAGGCCAGTTTCCTCTCATGAACCTGCCATTTACCTGAAAGGACTATACTACTCTACTCACTTTCTTGCCAGTTTCCAGGAGGTAACCTGGTTACTGCATGTCGACACCCCTCGCAGGCTGCAGGCACCTTGTTGTCTCGATGTTGTCCATGGAGTTAGAATTATGTGCTCATTGAATAATAATACAATAATCCACTAAGTCTCAGCCAACCAACTGCCACAGAGCCATATCGGTCTATTATTAGCCTTTTATCTCGGTCACTGTCGCCTCTTTCCAGGATTCCATCGCTCACTCCTTCATGAAATTTATATATGCATGCATTAATAGTATCCTTAATCTTTCAGTGGATTTAGCCAAAAATAGAGTTTCCATTAGTGCCATGCGCTCATTATCCACACACAGGCAGCAGTATGAGGGCACGGGCTGGAAACAAAGCTGCTGTTGAAGCCAGTGAGGTTATTTTAGTAAATGCTGACATTTTTCATCCTCCTGCACTCTCCTGCATCCATCAGGTGGTCATAAGACAAGAGGCTTGTTAAAGTGAGACCCTGTTCTCCTGGCCTGCACATCATCAGCCAAGCAACACCTGCCACTTCTGAGGCAACCTCTGATTTATTAAAGGCGATCTAAGTGACAGATAATGTAAGTGGCGCTGCAGGAAGGCCAGGGCACAGATAGAGAAGAAAATTGCTAGTCAGATATGTCTTCTACTAATCAGATTTGAGAGGACAAAAGGACAGAGCAATGTGATTAAAGTTTGATTCATTTGCAAAGATAGTGACATCAACACTAAGACTTCTAAAAAAAACCCCCAAACACTTCAGGTCAGTAAATCAGCCTTTAAAGGTTTTAAAGGTTTGCAGTCGACAACTTCAGCACTAAATGCCACCAAATCCTAACCTCACCCAGAAGTCACATTTCAGTTTGTGTGTTCCCGTAACCAACAGTGTTGGGTTAGTTACTCATTACTCTTTTCAAAAGTAATTTCATTACTTTACTGATTACTCCTTACCAACAGTAATTAGTTACACTACTAGTTATATTACTTTTCTAATACGCCCCACAACATTGGTAATTGTGTCCCTTCAGATTTATGATAATTAAAATCCAGTTTTGTTGTTAAACTCAAAGGAATATTTCCAGCCGCTGAATGTAAGCCTTTTAGTGTCCAAACTAGTTTCTGCCACGATTACAAAAGTAAATCAAAAGATGTGATTGGATTGTTGGATTTCAAATTAGTAGGGGGGTGACAATATAAGTAATATTGTAATATTAATATTACAAAGAAAACATATATGTTATTAAACTGTAATATTAATTTCAGAAATGTATTAATAATTAATTACAATACTAGTTAATGAGGAGAGTAATATTTTTACTGTAAAGCTACTACTAGTAATGAGTTACTGTCCAACACCAATCCTTATGTTATGTACTCACTAACACTAACGTAGCTTCTCTGTGTCTGTACCAAAGCCACTTACACAACAGCAGCAGGTGTCAGAGGAGTCTCTCAGCAAACTAAAGCACTTATTTCACAACTGTCAATCAAGCATCGTGCAGGAGAACATATGACAACTAATAATCTGATCTGTCTCCATCCACTATGCTTTAAACATTCATAATGTATGGAGAAGGTGGGTGATATAAGGTCATGCCTCTGCTCTGTTGACATTGGCCATAATAGCATTTAAATCAATAACAGAGAATATTGATCAGCTGATCTGATTAATTGATTGAGTGGAAAAAATACATATGATTGCATTCAGGCTTATAAAACATCACCCAGTGAGGACAGATCATTCAACTACATCCCACCAATTGCTCTCAAAACCAACCACAGTGCCAAGTGACAGTTACTGAGATTATATGAAGATAATCCCATGAAGTGCGCACAAACACTTACTTTACCTCCACGACAGCCTTTGTATCCCGGACAGTGCTGAAAGGTCGGAAGCTCTCGGTTAATCAGTTATTTCCAGGGATGTTGACATAATGTCTTCTCTTCACAGTTGGACTTTACGGATTCATTTAAGTCTTTAAAGTAACTTTGAGCGACCGGATGAGACGGACGGATGGAACACATCAGCCTTCTTTAGACCCGAACTGCGAAGACCGGTTTCAACGGTTTTTACAGTCTGAACGCTTTAAATAATAAAATGTTCTCATAAATCACAGGATAGTTTCTCCTGGCATAGAGACGTTCCTTCAGTGTTCATAGAAGAGTTAAAAACTGTAATCCGTCCGACACGGTGTGGGTGGAGCTGTGGGCGCACTGCAAAGAATATTCCCTCTAAACAGGTTTTACTCCCAGCACACAGCTGACCTGTGTGTTCAAATGGGAACCTTTTATAGTGTGCATTGTGACTGTCAGAGGTAAATGGACCTGAGCAGCAGGACTGCAGTGGTGGAGCAAATAAAGGATTTTAAAGTTATTCTAATGATTCCTGAGTCTTATTATTCCTGAAAACATTTTAGTATCACTTTCTCAAAAGGCACCCTTTATAAAGGGTTTATAAGTGGTCATTTATTAGGGCTGTGTATTGGCGATAAGATATGTATCACGATACCTGGGTTACGATTCAATGTATTGTGATATATCACGATACTGTAAACAAGGCGATATATTGTGATTCTAAAATCTAATTTTGTACAGAAGGCAGGTAGTATAGTAGTGTAAAGAACACGCCACCATTTGCATAAAAGAGTATTTTTATGCAACCAGAACAGTGGGATCTAAATTTGTATTTATCTCTGTAACATCAAACATCATAGCCCTCAGTTTACGTTTACAACATTGCTATCTAGCACTCTATATTATATTACTCTATATTTTATTACCCACCTATAATTTATTGCTTTATTAATGGAAAATAAATGAAAAATCCATTTGACTTACACCTTCTGGGAAAGGGCTGCAAATGGGATCTGGACTCAAATGAATTTATTACCAACTAATTAATCCTTTATTAACAGATAGCCAACATTAGAAACAACAATGTTACCAAATATAAAGGACAGACATAAACCAAAGGGATTTTTCACAACCTGCCAACCCAAATTATGTTCCTATTAATGATTTATAACCCATCTATAAAGCATTAGTATATCATGTATTAATAACTGCTGACACATTAAGTCAAAATTCATGAAACTTTTTATAAAAATCATTTTATCTTATCATTTCATTTTACTGTTTAACAAACTGAATTCAAGTTGGATTCATTTAAAATAATTACACTGCAAAACACTTCCCAACTGTCAATTTTCAAAGGTTGATGGCTCACCTTAAATCAATAATAGCATTCTGAAATAAAGTGAAGGATTCCCTTTACTAAAGTTGCAGACTTCTTTTCAACACCGCTTGAGGAACTTTCGAGAAAAAACAAGATAGGACTTAGCCTAATTACTCTTGGCCTTCTTGTAGCTATCAAAATGTATGGACAGGCGAATTGATCTAATCATACCCTCCCAGTCACTACTGTATGGTTAAGAGTCTGCAGTGCAAGGAAACATAACTGAAATACCACACAAAAGTGAGTTTCACCCCTCTCTGCAGGCAAAAATCTTACCCCATAAATTTGGCATTATGGATATTAAAAGAGAAGAGGGAGATAGAGGAGGAGGTGGGAAGGGACATCTCATATGAGAAGTTATCTGAAGTTATTTGTATCTCTTCCTGTCGGCTCCATTTTGGTGGATTTTGGACGGACGGTGAGGACAAATTGGTCTCATGTGCTGGAGTTTAGCGGTGTGTTGAGAGGGTTAAATCAAGTATGTTTCTGGTTTTAAGTGTGAGTGGAGATGTCAGGAGGGGGAGATCAAAGGGGGATAAGACACAAATAATTTCATTAAACTTCTCTGTGGGGAGGCTGTAGTTGCCAAGGAGGCCTGGTATACATGGGCCCCCCTCTCTAGGAAATATTAGTGCTTCCTGGAATTCACCTACAGAACTACAAGAGGAGGGGGTGAGGAGGTTTGTATAGGGGCTGGTGGAGCGCCACGCTGTGAGGGAGAGCTTCAACCCAACCACATATGAGAAGGGGGATATCAGAAGATGTCACAAATTACAATTTATTGCTGGATTTCATGATGTCTCCTCATGCAAAGTTAAATGGGATATCTAAGGACTAACACTCATACATTTACCTTGTTGGCATTACTTTTCAGTCATTATTCACTCGCTATGAAAGGTTTTAATGACCCTACATGGTCAGAAATATTCTAAATTGATTCATCATAAAGCGTCTGAACATGGCAGTGCTCACCTCTTCTGTTCACATGAGTGCAATTAGATGTTTTTAATTGATTGTTGTAAATAATTATGCCACACTAAATTGTACATCACAATACAAGACTTAGGAGGCTGTGTATTGCCAACACCTGGCAAAGAGGTAGAGCAGTTGAGTTAGGTCTTGTAGGAGATCTATTCCAGGCCCAGCACAGAGATTAACCCTTGGCTTGGGATAATTACGTCAGATCCCTGTAATCCCAAACAATTTAGCAGCGGACAGTGACGGTCCCTCAACTACAAGTTCTCTTGCAGATTAAATGCATGCTGGTCCAGTGATGGTGTCACTGAATGAGAATGTGGAAACATGGAGAGCCATTATACTGAAACCGAATATAGGTTATTCTAAATCTGCTTTACAGGTTTAATTTTGTCCATGTAATTCAAGTCATCACAGTGTAACTAAAATATGTTCATTCCTTTGTGTAATATGATGACAGCAGTGGTGGTGATAATGACCATAACCTGGCAGTAGCACTAACAGCAGTGAAAAGAGAACGCTGCCTCCTGTTTTTATTGTTAGCTCTTTGTCGGCCTCTAGTGGTGATGGGAAGTACTCACACTGCTCAGCTGAAAGTTAGCATTTCAGCCAGCAGAGGGCACCTGCACCCACTGTACTGTTGGTTACTCTTTTAAATGATGGTGAGAAGAGCTAAATGTGATCAGATAATGCCACATGAATCTGTTAATATGGTAATAAAGATTTCTACTTAAATGAATTAAAATCAAGTTTCACTTTCTTTATTATGATGAACAGAAAAGGCCTAAGGGAGGGCAATTAGGAATATGGTAAACAGGAACAGTGAATAAATGAATTAATCAATAACAAACAACCACTGTCAGAGACATTCAAATGACTAAAATGGGAAGTTACCAAGCTGGGGAAGTCTAACAGAAAGTTGCATTATGGGAAATCTAGAGTTTTGGGAAGAGTCAGGTTTTTTAATATGTCTTGAAAGCCCACTTTGTTTACTACTTTAAAAAAAGTTTCATGTAGTTACTGTAGTCAAAGTGTGATGTAATAGAGACCTGACATGCATTGAATAATAAGTATTTCATCTCATCATATCTAGATATAAAGTGTGCAAAAACAAGCAAAATATTCTTACACATAATTAAGCTTTTTTGTATTGAGCAAAAAAAATCCTGCCAATGGGGTATGCCAGTTTTGCTTTGTCTTAAATTAAGACAGCAGCCATTTTACAATTTTTTTTTATCAAAACAGCTGCTTCATTTCCAACACTGGGACAAGACTGCTTTCTCTATAAAATAAGGAAAATAATCTTGTTCCTCCGCTTGGATATCACGCAAACCATTGTTGGAACTGTTTGTAATAAATTTACAAACAAGTGTCCTGCTTTATAGAGGATTTGCAAATCATTAAGTCACAGAAATATCAACAAATCATCTTGAATTTAACCTATTGACAGATCTACTGAAGATATAAAATCTGTTTCTCTCCCACCTCTGGATTTACTGTACCTTTTTACTGCTTTAACAACAGATTCAAAAATTTTTGTGTATGTGATAAAATGTTCTCCATGTATAAATATTTTTCCATCAGGCCCAAAGTGCATAACAACAGCTAAAAAGAGAGCAGGAGCAGTGTTATACCGGACATGCATCCGCTCCTTCTGTAACTTCCTGTCTTGTCCTGCCTGATCCACCTCCAAACACAGTGTCTCCCACGCAGGGGGGGTGCACAGATCGCACAGAGAAGGAAGCATTCATGGGAAAATATGAGACCATAGCATTCTGTTCCCATACTCAATTTTAAATATCAGATGTATGCATACTGAACTGACTGTATTGAATATGTTTAATGGATTCATTTCAAATGTTTCTACAATACTGAATACATCTGCAGAAGTTACTAAACCAGGACATTTTTCTTTGGTACTCTATGTTGTTGTGGAGGGCTTCAGTCAAACTCACACAGACAATAACTGATACAGTTACCAGGAAGGATCAGATAGAAACCCCAACAGATGCTTTCTGCCTCTCTACTGTGTTCAAGGGACCAGCAACAAAATTCCTCTCAGCAGATTTATCTGTATAACTGGGCTGCAGTTTTCACAGTATCACATACTATGTGCTCAGTCAGGTAAAACCACTTCTCTGACACAATCAAGGTGTCAGTGGTGGTATTTGTTATAACACTGAGGTATCAGATATGTAGTTTGAGGCTATGTTATTGTTAGATGGAGCTAACATAATGTGACCGGATTTCACTATGGACTCTTGCTTAAGGCGTGGAGGATTTAGTGGCATCTAGCGGAGTAGTTTCAGATTACAACTCCCTTGCTTCACCCTCCCCTTTCAAGCATGTAGGAGAAACTATAGTGGCAACAATACACACAAAAAACTCAAACACTGATGACATCAGTGTTTTAGATTATTTATTTGAGTTACTTGTGACTTGTTGTTTTTCCTGGCAAACAGGGTATATCTAACAGGAAATGATGCATATCATGATTTTCCCTTAATTAAAAAAATGTCCTGCATTACTAAACACAACACAACCAATGGGAAGTGAAGCTAAAGCACTGGCTTACTGCATCCGAGATGTTGCTAAAAACACAACAAGGTTCTTGAGGGATAGGCCTACTGATTTTAGGCCTTTGTTAATTCATTTAAACCTCTGGATACGCCCCCCCCATGGTGTCTCAGATCTGGCTGGCAGAGGTGCAATTACAGGGTGGGGGAGGGAGGAAAAAAAGGGCAGATAAAGCACCGAGACAACAATAATATAAAGATCATTAATTAACACAACTTGTCAGCGCCAGCACACGCCCAACGGAAGGAGTAACACTGAATGCCAAGCATTTTTCAAAGTTTGTTCTGCCTTGTTCAGTGATAATGCAATGATGCAATACATATCCATTTAAAATCAGTTATACCACCAATAGCTTATTCTATTGGTAAAACTGGCTTATATACTAAAGGGGAAACTAGCATGTGTTTCAGTGCACAGTGAGTAATGAGGGGTAACTTTGTTATGGGTCACTGCAGGTGTCTGAGTGCTCCAACAGGGCTATCATTTCAGGCTTTAGGACCTGGAGGGGGAGGAATTTTTCTCCCACTGCCCCTGGATACAACAGGGCGGGACCGGCCTTGAAATAAGATTCCAGTGCAGAGATTTTAATGCTCTGACAACCGGGCATGACAACTCCTGCAACTGTCTCATAATATTCTGTTTCCATCCATACATTAACTTAATCAGTGCTGTGGGATCTATCTGCAAGCAACTTGAGGACAACCTGCAAAATTATTTAAAGAGCCCCATAAGGTAAGATATAAGTACTGGGAGTAAGGGGGGAAGGGAGAGTATGCAGTGCACTATTCAACTGGTGGGAAATGCCCAGGCATGTGAGACGAGGTCAGATCTGTGATATGCCGTTAAAGATTCCATTGGGGATTACAGCAGTGTGGATCATTCAGGAGTTGTTGGATAGGTTTTAAAAAGTATGAAAAATGAAGAAGAAAAAGTCAAAGTATGTTGCACGAAATTAGAAAATCCACAAGAATACAGACATTTAGGGAGTTGGCTGCATTCAGTTAAATAAACTATTCGTATACAGTGACAGACTCAAAACTAATAGCTTACAAAGGGCATTACTATAGTGTTCTACACGTTATGAAACTGGTAAGGATCTATAAAAGTTCTGAAGAGCATGAATAAAAATACGTACAAACCAAATTTACCAATGTTAGTCACTGGGTCATTTAAAGAAACAGAGTATGATTTCAAAATGTCAAATGCAGTCAGTGTTACTTTTCAAATGCCATTTAGATCACATCATCAGCATCGGTTTTAAAGAGTTCGGTCTAGACCTGCTCTATTTGAAAAGTGTCCTGAGATAACTTCTGTTATGAATTGGCACTATACAAATAAAATTGAATTGAATTGAAAAAAATTTAAGAAAAAGATTCATCCCTATTTATTCTGTTCTAAACCTGCTAGCAGCACAGAAAATAGTCATCTTTAAGTACTATTTTAAAAATAATGTTAAAGACACAGTTTTAAGAATGATGAAAAAAATATCAACTTTGAAATCTTTAAAAGTGATCTCTTTCAGGCACACTGAGGCTGGGTATCGCTCCATCTTCCTGTATGGGCCTGTAAGAACATGTCAGGAAGCTGCTGAAAAGAGATTCTTGATGCATATTTATCCTCCTCTCTTAAGCAGGCTGTGGTTTCCTTAATCCATTTCATTAAAAGGCTGAGACATGGCCATTTTTATAGTTCAGAAGATCTTAACTATAACTGTAACTGGCCTTATGCACAAAACCTCCTCTTCTTGCGGCTCTCCTCTATATACGTGGACTGGAATGAAAACCTGACATTGGTTGTGTGTGAGTCGGCACGTGGTCACTTCTTCCACATCATGAGGAACCAATCAGCTTCAACCAGACTCATTTCTCAATACAGAATTCTGTAAAAGTCTTCTGTGTTGCCAACACATAAAGAATTCAGAAATAGCTGGCCAATATTTTGGCTTAGATACATCCTGCAGCTGCCTACGTGGATGTTATGTAAGCCTTGCCTTGAGGTATTGGCAGAGATCTAATTTGAATTCCATGGGCTCCCCCTGCTATAATCCTCAAAAACTGCAGAGTAGACCCTAAATATACTGCAAAATGAGTTTGTAAGGTTAACAAGATATAACCCAGACAACATTTTGTCTCTCTCCTTCGGTCAGCAGATTATTGACTGATGTTTGTCCTCATGTCTTTTCATAGGTTTCACTGATTAGCATTATACCATGTGGGTCACAAACGTCGTAGCCCTGGTCTTCCTGGCCACTTCCGCCTCAGCTGCCACCTCGGCTTCAGCAGACAAAGTCCTGAGTAACCACGCCACCATCCTGGCTGACAACAGCGCAAAATTGGCTTTCAGTCTCTACCAAAACATGGCTAAGGAGAAAAATGTAGAAAACATCCTCATTTCTCCTGTAGTAGTGGCCTCCTCTCTGGGTCTGGTTGCTCTCGGGGGCAAAGCCTCGACTGCCTCTCAGGTCAAAACCATTCTGAATGCGGATAAAGTTAAAGATGAGCAGCTTCACTCCGGTCTGGCTGAGCTCCTGACTGAGGTGAGCGACCCAAAGACCCGCAATGTCACCTGGAAGATTAGCAACCGCCTGTATGGACCCAGCTCCATCACCTTTGTGGATGATTTTGTCAAGAGCAGCAAAAAGCACTACAACTGTGACCACTCCAAGATAAACTTCAGAGATAAGAAGAGTGCTGTGAACTCCATCAACGAGTGGGCGTCCAAGTCTACTGATGGCAAACTGCCCGAGATCACCAAGGATGTAGAAAAGACTGATGGGGCAATGATCATCAATGCTATGTTTTTCAAACGTGAGTCTGTGCAGAGGGTGTATATGAGCAGTGTTATTCCATTAAATGCTTTAAAATAATTGATTTTTTCCCTCACAGCTCACTGGGATGAGCAGTTCCATCATAAGATGGTGGACGACCGTGGATTCATGGTTTCCCGTGGCTACACTATATCAGTGCAGATGATGCACCGCACAGGTAGGTGGAGACAGTCCAGTCCAACATTTGTCAAACTAGAAGAAATAATTGAGATTTTGGTAAATATCTGTAAATAAGTGTAAAAACTAAAATTTGCTTCTTCTTCTTTTCTTTTTTTTTTTTTTTTACAGTGGGTTAAGGGTCCAGTGTGTAACAATTAGGTGGATGTATTGTCAGAAATGGAATATAATAGTCATAGGTATATTTTCATTAGTGTATAATCACCTGAACATAGGAATCATTGTGTTTTTGTTGATTGTTAATTGAATTAACCATTTTTATCTACAGACGCTGTGGTTGCCTTCCATAAAGTCCTCCATGTTCAACTGCCATATTTCTACAGTAGCCCAGAGCAGACAAACCAAACACTGGCTGTAGATAGTGAATTTCACGTGTTTCGTGGGTTTGCCAGCAGTGTTCAGTTAGTTGCAATCTGAAACTTCAACTCTAGATTCCACTAAATCCTACACGCTGGTCCTTTAGATTAAATTGCAAATATTTGTAATAAATTTCATTTGTTTCCTCAGGTCTATTTGGCTTCTATGATGACAAAACCAATAAGCTGATCATCCTGAGCATGCCTCTGGCTCATAAGAAGTCCATTGTGTTGTTCATCATGCCCCACCATGTGGAACCTCTAGAGAGGCTGGAGAAGATACTCACCAAGAAGCAGTTGGATACATGGATGGGCAAGCTGCAGCAGACAGCAGTAGCCGTGTCCCTGCCCAAAGTCAGCATGGAAGTCAGTCACAACCTGCAGGTAAAAGATGCAAGAGATTGAAAATGACTACACCCCAGCCTTAACTTCTGCGTCAACTACGTCTTTTATATAAACTGATTTAATTTTCTGCTCCCCTTTAGAAACACCTTGAGGAGCTGGGCCTGACAGAGGCCGTAAACAAATCCAAAGCTGACTTGTCCAACATCTCTGGGAAGAAGGACCTCTACCTGTCCAGTGTGTTTCACGCCGCTGCCATAGAATGGGACACTGATGGAAATGAAATTGACACTAGCATCTTTGGCACAGACAAGCTAAAAAACCCTAAACTGTTCTATGCTGACCACCCCTTTATCTTCCTAGTGAAGGACCAGAAAACTAACTCCATCCTGTTCATTGGCAGGATGGTCAGGCCGAAGGGTGAAAAGATGAGAGATGAATTGTAACCACCTGTTGACCTGAGTGTCTAAGTCAAATGCCTGACCGTGTGTGTGTATATATTTTCTACTGCAATATGCGGAGAGAAGTGGGGAATGAAATTATGAAAAATGAAATCGCATTCCTTTATGTCACGTGCTGACAGCATTCCACAATACACGCCTGAAGACATGTGTTTTTTTTCCTGTTTTAGTGAACAAAGCATTGTGCACAACCTTCCTTTTTATTTTGAAGAATATTTTATATCACTATGTGGCTTTTTTGTTTTATATTGGCAGATCACATTATGGACTGAAGACTTACATTAAGTATGATTTCCCTGGTTAATGCCTAAAATGTAAATGCACATATTAGTTTAATGGCAGGGAATACCTGTGAAATATTATGAAAAAATTATTTCTGTTGTCAGGTCTTAACAATCTTCATAAAAGATGTTCAACTATTTTACTATTGGAGAGACTTTATGGTGCTTGCTGTTGAATTTAAGAAAATATGTTTTAGTTTGTTTAGTTTTGCACCTTTAATATGTTAACTCCAAGCATCTTCACCATTAGCTGCCCATTCTTTGCACTGCTTTCCACCACTAGCACAAGATAAATTTTTTCTTGGTTTGACAATTTCAAAACATGTTTTAGACTGTTACAAATTTTAGGTTTTTGCAATAAAAGTGTGAAAAAACAAAAGAACAAGTGGTGGCATTTTCCTTTGTGTAACAGAAGACTCTGGCTCTCTCTGTCTGAAAGTCTGTTTGCAATAGCAGTTTGGCCTTGGGCAAGTCTGTTGGAAGTCTCGCCTCCAGTGGGATTTTCCAGCTGAATAACATGAGCAAATTCCAGGGAGGGTGATTGTGTGACCTCCTGGACAGCACCACTTCAGCAATAAATGTGACAGAGTTGCAATGGTATACACTACATGTTAAACATAGTATCTTCATTATTTAGACATCAACAAAATATTTAGGTATCCTACATCCAGATCGGTTCTTGATCCACTGAGTGAGTAATTGCCAAACGCTATATCATCAACCTCCCACCTGCTTTAGGTTTACAATGAAACATCTGCAAAAACAGTCAGTAATGAGCAAATGATTGATTAGCATATAGTATTTTATGTTTCAGGGTATCCTGGAACCTTTTTTGAATGTATCACACCATCTAGAGGACACTGGATGTATGACAGAACAGTGATTATTATTATTATTATTATTTTTAAAGTGATTTTTTTAAATATCTAAAATATATTACTTATTATAACACCTAAAAGGGGGGGAACAATAATAGTTTATGATATATGCCTTTATTGTGCTTGACCTTTATCCATAATTAGTCAAAGCACTGCATTGCTACTTACAGTAGTTACATTTTCTTTAATGATGACAGCCTGCTGTAGACAAACAGGGGAGATGCTTATATGGCGTGTTTACAGTCTTGTACCTAAACTCCTTAAATGACTGTATGCAGTTCATCAGTCACCTACCATTGGGCTCTGAGATACAGGAGCACGGAATGCAGGACTGCTTCAAAGACAAATCTCATACGCTGACTATATCTGTTGATCTTTTTTCTTTATAGCTTGTTGTATTACCACTGATGTACATCCTGTTCTGCCCGTGTCATTATCTTGAATGAGATATTCATTGACAGTGTTGTATGCTTGTTGTGTTCCTCTTTTGCTGAGCTGCATGACAAATATCTGTCAAATGATTGCTGACGTGGAAAATAAAATACTGAACTGAAACTATTTTATACTGTAATGTACATAGGAAGTAGCAGTTTGTAATTAAAGCTGCAGTAGGTAATTCCTATAAAAATATTTTTTGTCAAATTTGCTGAAATGTTCACTGTACCCTGACAGTAGTACATGAGACAGATAATCCGGGAAAAAATCCAAGTTTCTCAGCTTTGTTTAATGGCATAGCAAGAATACACTGGGCCTGAACGAAAACATCCATTTACAGCCAGGAAAGATAGTTGATTGTTGAGTCTCATTCCCAGGAAATCAAATACAGACACGTTGCCACCCTGAGACTATCTTCAAGCTTCCAACCCAAAGCATCTTCATATCTTTCTCGCCTCTGATTGGTTGTTTTTCGTCCAGGTCTTGTGGATTCTTGCCAAATGCCAATAGGAGCACTAGAACGAGCTAGAGGAACTAGATTTTTTCACAGATGTTCTGTCTCATGTACTACTGTTAGGACATGGGGAAGATTTCAGCAAATATGACAAAAAGTTTTTTTATAAAAGTTACTTACTGCAGCCTTAAATAGGCCAATCCAGTGGTCTGAGTAGCTAATGCGCTAATAATATATAATAATCATACTGAATGTAACCATGGGACAGATAAGGCCAACATATCTAAACATGAACTAAAATAAAACATAAAGGGCTATTTAAAATACCATACATGTTAATAGAACTTTAAGATATTCCTAAAGATTTTCAACTGCAACACAGTTAGTTACCTACAAATGGCAATAGGCTGCACATAGAATAATAAAGGATATGCAGATGAATTCCAGCCTTCCTTTGACTGGCACTAACAGCAGTAAGTTCCTGTTTATCGCGGTGGACTGTGTCCGTCGCTCGTGAGGAGGAGGGCCGGAGGAGTGCTCGTGCTGTGATGGGACTACAGATCCGTTAGTACCGTCCACAGCCTCCTCCTCTTCCATCATGGCTCCCTCGTTGGACAGGCAAGGATACTGGGGGCGGCCGACCTCAACGCTGGACTGGTGTGAAGAAAACTATGTCATCTCTTTTTACATCGCGGAATTTTGTAAGTAATATATAATTGCGTCTTTTATTCTAAAAATGGCGAATGTGTGGTTCTTTGTGGGAGAGTGTTGGGGAGGACAGTCAGCGTGTACGCACAGTCGCCCCGGAATAACGTAAACATGAAGTAGGAGCAGCGGCTCTAACAGTAATGTAGTGGATTTAACGTTATGTTAACGTGTTAGCTCGCCTTATATGAATATAAGTACCAGCTAAGTGTTAGCATTAAAGCAGCTACAGCTATAAATGAGGAAAAAGGAAAGCTTGTGCATGTAACGTTAGCTAATCAACCTGTCGAGCTGTTTTGCATATAGCTTTACTGTAACGTTAGGTTATTATTCCGCCCTGTAGAGTGTTAGCTAGCGTTATCATTCACACGTTATTACAATTAGCACTCTTTTGTATTAAGTCGACTGTTTGCCCTCGCAAGGTGCACAGCATTTCTCACTCAGTCACCATTTGAAACTTGATAATACATTTCCTCCATACTATCAGGGTGCCTCACTGCTTTGTCTAACGATAAAAACTGGTTCCTCAGGAACCATTATCTTAGATTTAAACCTTGTTAGTGTCAAAAAGCTGCCCTGTCTGCGGGACTTAATTCATAAATGACATATCCACCAGCTTTTACTAACGTACAGGGACACAGAGTTCCCTTCAAAAGCCTTCAGCCAAGCTGCATTAGACAAACACTGAAAATAATACTTTCAGTTACTCATTATTGTGCAGGCAACTTGAGCTCTTGGAAGTGAACTAGGCTGTGTGTTTGTCTTTCAGCTGTGAGTCATAAACCATACACATTCATTGGACGTTCACTGAAGATAAAGTCTTCATTTTCATTGTATGTTAAGGACCTTCCAGGTGCTGTAGTCAGTGGTGCTCTGGTACTAAGTGATGCAACAGTTAGTCTAAGGTATGCTCAAGCCAAGTGGGTCAGAGTTTAGTATTACCATGTTTCATCTTCTGTGTAATTTGTCAACGTTAATAAGCCTTTGTAGTGGTTAACACTTTATTCATTGTTCTAAAAAGTCCTTCTGTAAGTCGTTAGTCTTCATTCATTCATTCATTTCATTGTCAGGGATACTGCCAGTTGAAGCTTTTGTTTGCACAAATGACACACACTGGCCGAGCTACACAGTTGTTGTCAGCCACAGAAGAATTGTTTGGCATTTAAATGGTGATTCAGGTTACAATGGTTGGAATGTGGCATTGTTCATGTGGAAAAGAGACACCAGCATGGTTTTAATCCTCATTTATTTTTTTACTTACTTTTATACATTATCTCTCTCTGTACAATATCAGCACATGGTGACGATAGAAGGCAGACACAGGGGAAGGTCATAAAGAGTCGCCCACACAGGACATTTTCAGTTGTCATTGAAATGTGAAAAACAATGCTGTAGTATTCTTGGTGTGTGTGCATTTATTATCAGTAACCAAAGTCCAGACATTTTAAAATGGTCACTCTAAGGCCTTGTAGAAATGCCTTGGCTTTTATCAGACACATGCAGATAAAGGAAAAGTCTCGTGTTCGTGAAAATACTAGTAAGCAGTATTAGTACTACTTCACATCCCGGTGAGCGTGATAGTTTTCCACACCTTTGTACATCACCACACCCAAAAAGAGCAACGTTGGTATCAGAGTTTGAGCTCTGCTTTATCAGGTTATATGTGGGCTTGAGAATGCACTAACAGTATGGTAAATAAACAGCTTTGGCTCCCCTAGGCCAAAGCTGTTTATTTACTATACTTTTAGTACACACACAAATCTAATAAAACACTGACACCAGTTCAAACTTAGGCCACTTTTACAAATAAAGCTTAAACATTTTGCTTGAGGCAAACTTAACAACAGTTGTTGAAGCTTTTTTCTCCTCCACACCCCAGGTTCTTTCAGTTATTTTCACTTTACTACAACCACACTGTAGTTAAGCTTCTTTACAAACAAGTAATACATTTTTCATCTTTTAGCTCATTTATTACAAATGAGTGGGGGAAAAAAACTGCGATACAAAATAGTGCAACAACACATTATAAAACAATTAGGGCTGCAGCTATCAACTATTTTCACTATCAATTAATCTGCCTATTGTTTCTTGGTTAACTGATTAATTGCTTGTCTATAAAACATTAGGAAGCTGAAAAATTACTTATCTAATGATAAATAATGAGGTGATTAATAATAATGTAAGCAGCAAATTTGTATAATTGATAGTCTGGAACAATCACGTTTGAGGGATTCCTGCTTGAAAAATGACTGGAACGATGAATTGATTATCAGAATAGCTGCTGATTCATTTTGTGCCATTTGTTTAATTGATTACTCGACTAATCATTGCAGCTCTAAAAACAAGTCCACCCATCATTTACCATTTACCACATTTATCCATTATGTGTGTATCTACAATTGCAAACCCAAATACTGCTATATTACCAGTTTACCAGGATAGTTAAAGTGACAGATGCACAGTAATTCTAGTATTTCAGTGCTGTGAATTCTATGCAGATGCCTAAATAGGTATATAAACTGTTGGAGAATCTCCTAAACACAGGACATAAGGAAGTTAAGGCCTGTGTTGCATGTATTTGAATGCACTTATGCCTGCATTTGTCTCTTGTATGCACTATATAAATTTTTTATGTGGCAGCCTTTACATTCAAGATAAATTTACTCTAGTGAGGAATAGTAGTCTTGAATAAGTAATCTTGAATCTGTTAAAATGATCACAACATGTAACCCAGGGTGTCCCACTGAACTCTCACTGGCATTCAGAGGCACTCAGATGTGTTCAGATATATTACACAGGTCATGCCATCTGGTTCTAATTTGCCTGTGTTGTCTTATTGAACAGGGAACACTGTCAGCAACCTGATTATGATTCTTCCTCCTCTTTGTGGGGCTATCCAGACGTTCCGTGATGGCCTTGAATTTCGCTACGTCTGCTCTTTTCTCGGATTGGCAGGTTAGTCTGTTGAAACCACAAGTTTCCCCTGAAAATACTGACGCCAACACAGCTCTTGTTTACATATCGTAGTTACTGACTAGCTACAGCTACTACTAGCCTTTCCAGTTGTATAGTATTTGCTGTTAAAGCCGTCAATTGTATTACGTACACATAAGAATGTCTTGACTTCCGGTTTGAATGTTTTGTGTGTCGCCCAGCTGTTGGTGTTGGTTCCTGGTGCTTCCACATGACGCTGCTATATGAGATGCAGGTGGGCTACAGTGTTGTATTAAAATCTTAATATATCAGCAAAAAGTGTATACTGAATAATTTCTTACTGAAACTACATCAATCAGATTGCTGCCTTGAAAAATATTTGTAATGGAAATATGAGGTCAGACTTGTGCTGCCTAATGCGATGTTAAGTTATGCTGAAACAATGTAATCCTAGAGAGATGTATTAATTTGTATTTTCTCTGTTCTTCATTTGCAGTTACTGGACGAGTTGCCAATGATTTACAGCACATGCGTATTTGTCTACTGTCTGTAAGTGGCTCAACATTTTGGGTTTGTTGCTCTTGACGAACTTAACACTGATGGTCACTGAGAACATAATTATTTAGTTAGTTATTTAGTATTTATTATTTGATTGTGGCTGTAAAATGAACCTGTGAACCCTGTACTGGTCACTTGAGCCTTTCCAAAAAAGGAGAGTGTGTCATCATCTTGTTGTGGTAGATTGTACTGTATGTAATGGAACTATTGATTCTAAACTGGACTCTGAGTATCTCTTTCCACTTGACCTCTCCACCTTGCATATTCCATACCATTAGAAGTGGTGGGCGTACTTCCCAGCTGACCATTGTGGCCAAAGTGTGGCTTTGAGTGTATCAGCAGCAGTGTCTTCTAACACATACCTGTTAGTAGTTTACATTAGTAGTCTCTCGTGGAATAAACCTTTTTTCTCTGCTTCCTGATGTAGAGAAACTGTTTGTTAAACCATCTGAAGACCCATCACTGGTTGGGAAAGGATTGGCTGTGCACACTGCCTCCTATAGATCAGGCCTTGGTTCTTATACTGTATATATATAATTTGTTGCCAATCAGTGGCGACCTTACATTACGTGATGTGTCTTAAATAGTATCCACAGTGTCAGTCGCCATGCGTACCTGGAATATGTAGAGTTGAAAGGGAACATGGGCTCCACACGTACCCTTCTGTTATTTGCTCTCTATTCTCTATGGTTATTCAAACTGATAAGAGCTAAACACATTTGCTTCTTTTTCCAGATATGAATGCTTCAAACAAGAGCATGGCATCAGCTTATTTCCTATTGCACTATTATTAATCTTCAGTGTCTCAGTCACTGTGGTGAGTATCCACTTTAACTGTAATGGTAATCACTTACTTACCACATTATAAATGAAGAACAACATAACATCACATGCTCTTGAGTAGTTCCTGTATCTATGTTTGCAGGTGTACCTACAGTGGAAGGAGCCAGTCTTTCACCAGGTAAAGGAGTGCTCTGCTTTATGTTCACCTGACTCAGATTGTTCATTGTTTACAATTAGGGCTCAGTGTGCCTTAAGTCATTGTTTAAACATTGGGCTTGCCAGCCCAGCAGGCCACTCTCCGTCTGAAAAAAAACCCCATTTCATATCAACACAGATGTGCAAAAAGGCAACATTTATCGGTATTTTACTTTGTTTCCTTGCTGCTTATACACTTTTGGCATTTAAAAAATCACAGATGCTAAGCCCAATGCTCAGATCGTAATTCTTACCTTGAGATCAAACAGAGAGCATCGTTGCAAAGAGAAAGAATAATTTCACCGCCCCAGCTATTTCCAGCAACCACATAAACCATTAAAGATAAGCACAGCCACCTCTGGGTTACACCCAGTGCTTTTTTGTACCTGCTCAGAGTCTCACGTTGTGTGTGTGTTGCTTTACAACAGTTAGGACAATGTGACAAAGCTGCCTATGTTTACTCTTTGGAGCTGACTTTGTTTACTAATCACACTGCTCTATGGTGGTTCATAACAGGACTGATAATGTTGTCCCTGTAGGAGCCAAACAAACAAGTACATAGAGTTAGATAATTTAAATCTAATTTTGTGATATAGAGATACTTTTTCCTATTCCTTCAATAATCTGGTGATGCCTCAGATTTATCTTGGAAAGCACCTGTCTAAAAGAATGAATTTATAAATCACTAAATTATATGAACTTTCATATTATCACTCACTGATTTTAATTCAGCAATTGAAACACATTAAAATGTATTAATAGTTAGTCAAATTGTTTATTTATCTTGCCCCACACTGTGTTTCAAAGCCAAATAAGTCATTTGTATCTTCTTCTAGGTCATGTATGGTGCTCTAGTTGCCTGCCTAGTGATGCGATCCATCTTCATTGTTACGTGGTAAGTTTTCCAAGAATGCTGTTAAAATAAATCCATTAACATATCAAAGGAATGCTTGTTCATTCATATTCAATGAACTAACAACTTGCCTTGGTTTTCTTTGTTTTTGTTTCAATGTTAGGGTGTACCCATGGCTCAGACCGCTGTGTTACACCTCCTTAGGAATCTTTATGTTAGGGTTCCTGCTGTGGAACATCGACAATATCTTCTGTGACACACTAAGGTGAGTATTTGTTGTGGATAAATGCTAAGGGTCTTGCTTAAAGTTAACATTGGAATTCTGAGAGCAAAGTGAATTATCCCTCATTTAACAGCAGTGGTGTGGAAAATATTCACATCAAACCTTTATGTGGCATCACATTGTTAATGTTATGCATTGTTTTCATCTTAAGGACAACTCAGGGAAACTCAAAGTAATGTTGATGCCTGGAAATGAAGCAACTTATTTACTGTGGCATAAGGAATCTAACCTGAAGGACCAGTGTGTAGGAAGAAGTGGCATCTAGCAGTGTAGTTGCAGCTCCCTCACTTCACCCTCCACCCCAGTGTGAAGGACAAACCACAGCCAAAAATGCAAACACTCAATCCGAGTGCCAGTGGTTGGTTTGTCTGTTCAGGCTCCAACACCAGACACTGGCTCTGTCACATTTTTCGTTGCCACCTACAAACTTGGTTGAATCAAGGAATTTTAGTTGGTTGCAATCACACACTGCAATCACTACACACTGGTCCTTTAAACTCTATCTAAAATGCATGATGCATGTTAAGGTTTTAATATGAAAACATGTTAAGTACAAACATTTATAAAATAATGGTCTTTTGGACTATTTATTAGCATCCTCTTCTGGAGAATCATATGCTGTAGAAGATACAGTTTTTGTTTTGTTATATATTTAAGATTGTTGGGTGAACACTTTTTTGGCCTCTCAGATCCAGCAGACAAACACTTCCCCCTGGTGTTGGAGTAGTTACACAGTTTCATGCCTGGTGGCACATCTTCACAGGCCTTGGATCCTACCTGCACATACTTCTCAGGTAAGTTCCCTTAAGTATGTTACAGGAGTCCTCTGCACAGCGCTTCATTCTGGGGAGTCTTATTCATTTGCATTGAAATCTAATGTCCATCTTTTAGCCTGCAGATCAGGTCAACCTACCTCAAGTACAGACCAAAAGTAAAGGTATGTCCAGCCCTTCGCCTTTACATATTGTAGCTTTTATTTAATTGCATTCATTAATTTATTCATTCATGTATTTTTCTTATTTTATCTTTACTTTGCTCAGTTTCTTTGTGGAGTTTGGCCCACATTGCACATTGAACCACAGAAGACGAGCTGAAAAAGGATGGTGACTGTCATATCAAGACACCATCGGCACAGGGACCTGCCAATGCCCACTGCTGGGTACTCAGCCCACAGCTAGGGGACAGGTGGACCCCAAGGCACCACCCCAGGGACCCTTCGGTTCTGCTCTGTGGGGATTTACTAAGTACAGTATAGCACTGAGTCCAGTTTTAAGAAATGGAAGATGTTTTCATTAATCATAATTTATTAGACTAGCTTTTCTGTAATTTCATTGAAGTGTAATAATTTTATTTGCTCATTCATTCTCAATGCAAATATGATGTGTAGTCCACCGCAGTGGCAAATGTTATGGGGTTATGGATGTTATCTTAATTCGGGTTTGGGAAAAGGGAGAACTGTCATTGATTCAGAATTCACATTACCACACTATCACCCCCTAAGCCTAAAGACATTTACATAGATCCCCAAACTTAAGTATAACCAAGATTTTTGCTTACATGTAGTTTTTACAAGTAGCTGAGGGATCTCTACTTAAAACACAGTGTTGTCATATCCCTTTTCAAGGAGTTTTGTATTGTTTTTGGATGTGCTCACTACACATGGAATAGTAACTGCCAGCTAGAAAATTAAAGTGATACTGTGTTAGCATAGCTTAAAAATCCTCCTTTATTTGCGTTGCCACAGGCTTCATTTTTACCAGAAATGTTCCTATCAGAACATGCCAAGACTGGAATTATTAATTTCTTGTTTTTATTGCCAAAGTTGTTGGGTTGGGATTTCAAACTGTCGTGTGATGTGTGACATGTTTTACCTCGTTCTAATCCAGCAAGAGATGCAATGCTTGTAGTTATGTTATACAACCTCATTACACTGAATTTTCATTTTGTGTAGGACAGGGTTAAAGATCTTCATCTCAAGTTTCTGTGGACAGAGAAACGCTTTAAAGTGACACTGCATACAAACTTTGCTCCGTGAAGGACTAGAATTTTACAGCCAGCTCCCCAAGGCCACAGGGTTTGTTATGTTAAGAAACCCTTTTGTTGGGATTTGTTTGGTCTGATCAAGCACAAAAAATGCAAACATGCAGAAACATCACTGGAAATGCATCAACTCAACCTGCCCGTAGTCTCTCTCAAGCCATTATCAGTGAGAAGATCAATGTGTATAATACAGCTAGTTTTGAGGGCATTTCGAGTTAAAATGCTGATAGTTGAAACCCAGCGAATGAAGCCAGTTAACAAAGACAACCTGTTTAAGAGGAACATTTCCTATTAGTAATTGTCAACATTCAGTCAAAGGACCAAGAGAATGAATGGAACATGTCTGAATCATTGCATCTTCATAAGCTGCAGGGAACAGGGTACTACTAAATACCTGTTGTCACCCCATTCCTTATTAGAAAAATACTTGTTTTAGTTCAGACATAACTTTATATACAGGTTAAGACTTGAATATATCCAACAATACTACAACCTTTTTTTTTTTTATCACACTCTTATTTATTAGTCCTTTTGTTATTTCAATTATCTGCTCCATGGCATCTTGGTGAAGAGTCAAATGGCACATACACCTTGTAGGGCGATATCATTGTGAAACAGTCCATGATACAACCACTAGGTGGCATAACTTTCCAGATTATTTCAGAGCATGCCGTTGTGCATTGAAGAACGACTACCTACCTACTGTAGAACTTTTAGGATCTTTGCCTCAGTTTTCATGTACTGGATCTGTGGTGTGAAATGAAGGGCTTTTCATTTACAATGTTTGTTTTGCTACTGTGAAAATGTGAATATGTAATGGTAACAACAGAACCTGGAGCTTAAAGTAATTGTGGTAAATTAGAAAATGCACAACATTATTGTTGTATGCTGATATATGTATTTGTGTGGCCTCCTAAACTGCAGACAACACATACTGCATTCATATTTCATTATGCCCACATGCTGTGTCACTAACTCTCATGTGCTTAACAATTTCGTGATCACAGTGTTACAAACTGTTATAAGCACAATGTATGACAGATAAGTATTAACATTACTCATATGTCTGTGTGGAATCTTCAATATATGTCATTATCTTGAAATCACTGCTCATTAGTAGAGGTGAGCAGTTGTCAAAGAGGGTGCCTTATTGTTATCCTTGCAGTGTAACCTAAGTTGCCTTGATGTTCGTGATTAACCATTCAAATCGTTCCTTGTGTTATGCAGTGTGCCCGTCCCCTGATAATAAGCAGCTAAGGCATCAGGAGGAGAAACAATAACAGCTTCTAATGCAAAGTATGTGCCTGATTCTTTGGCCTTCCATTCATTTCAAGTCCAACATCTTAGTTACAGGTTGTTCTATGATGTTAACTGTAAGTGATAATACTTGAGACCAGAAGAGCAAACTCTGCCAATGTGTTTGGTAAACTTTGGTCATGTGTCAGTCATTAATGATGTCCTGTATTGTCAAATAAAAGAAAATGTGTCGGACAATTTGTCTGCAGAAGAACTTTTCTTTGTCTTAGTCCCTTTTTTTGAAGCAATATTTCACTTCGTGTTTATAACGGTGATTATTTGGGAACCAGTCAAAGATGCCACCTACAACAAATGTTACTCATGAATTCATCATATCACAGGAAATGTTGCATTGTCAGGAACATAAATTCAATCATATGGGTTCCAGCGTAATGCTCCTCTTACTCATGGATAAGGGTGGTGTTTTTTCTGTATTTGAGGTGCTGGCATTTGTAGACTGGATTCAGATTTTTATTTCTTTCAGGAATGTTTTAATGTTTTAAAATATGCAGGAAAAGTACTTCTAAATGGGTACCTTATGTACATTTACCCAAACACTGTAGTTACATACATACATACATCTGTAATAGACTACTAAACATGGGTCATTTTAAAGCTCCAGTGTGAAACCTTTAGAAGGATCTATTGACAGAAATTGATAGAATAGTTATTAGTGTACAATCACCTGAGAATGAGAATACTTATGCTTTAATTACCTTAGAAGATTTTTATCTTGGGGCGGCTGTGGCTCAGAGGTAGAGCGTAGTAGTTGGAGTAGTTGTCCACTAATCAGAAGGTTGTTGGTTCTATCCCCTGAACCTCCCACTGCATGTTGAAGTATCCTTGAGCTTGAGCAAAATACTAAACCCCAAATTGCTCCCGATGCTGTGAATCTGCGTGAATGAGGTATTTTCTGTTCGATGGAATGTGGCACGTAGTGTAAAAGCACCTTGAGTGGCCAGAAGACTATAAATACAGGTCCAATCACCATTATTTACAGACGGTGTGAGTCACCTTCCATGGAAGCCGCCATGTGGAACCACCATGTTTCTACAGAAGCCCAGAATAGAACAATAAACAAACAGTGGCTCAGGTTTTTTTGCGTTTTTCCCTGCCACTGTTGTCCTAACGCTGCTAGACGACACTAAATCTTAACATATCACATGTTAAGATTTAACACATCTTAATGTCACATGGGTAAAATAATATGCAGAAAACATAAAATACAACAAGACTGAAAAATAGAATAAATATAGTATAGTACATTTGAGAGAGAAAGAAAACAATGTAGACCATTTCTTGGTAATGTTATGAACATTTGTGTTTTATTTCATTCATTAGTTCCCAATTTAACTCCAGTACAATGAGCTTCTAAAATTATATAGTTTTATGGGTTGAACTACCAAATAGAATAGAAACTACTGTAGTTAATATGAGCTTCAGCTACAACATTAATAGTAATGTTATAGTAATAATTAGATATTAGATAAATCAGATAATATGCTGTGAGACTGCCTAATTTACCCTCAGCACTCCAGAAAATATTTTTTATGACTCAAATTTAATTTAAGTTTTAATTTTTGTATGTATTTTTTGTATTCTGGACTGAGGCCTCTGATGTTGTTCCTGGGATCTGTTGGAGCCACTCCCCCAGTTTGGAGGTCACTGCCCCCAAGTGCTCCTACTACCACGGGGATCACGCTCGCCTTGACCTTCCACATCTGCTCCAGCTGTTCTTTCAACCCTTGGTACTTTTCAACCTTTTCGTGTTCTTTCTTTCTGATGTTGGCGTCTGCTGGTATGGCCACATCTATCACCACCGCTTTCTTCTGCTCCTTGTCTACCACCACTATGTCTGGTTGGTTGGCCAGGACCTGTTTGTCAGTCTGGAATCTGAAGTCCCACAGCACCTTGGCCCTGTTGTTCTCAGCCACCTTCTGTGGTGCGGCCCATTGGGATTTGGGTACTATTCCATACTGGGTACAGATGTTCCTATACACTATTCCAGCCACTTGGTTGTGTCTCTCCATGTACGCTGAACTGGCTAGCATCTTACACCCTGCTACTATGTGCTGGACTGTCTCAGAGGCATCTTTGCATAGTCTGCACCTTGGGTCAGATCTATCTATTGTAGATCTTGGCCTCTATGGCTCTTGTACCTATGGCCTGTTCTTGTGCTGCCATGATCAGAGCCTCTGTGCTGTCTCTGAGTCCAGCCTTTTCCAGCCATTGGTAGGTCTTCTTGATATCAGCCACTTCTTCAATTTGGCGTGGTACGTGCCATGTAGGGGCATGTCTCTCCAGGTTGTCTGCTCCTCTTCCTCTGCACTCTTATCGGGTTTCTGTTGGCTGAGACATTCACTTAGCAGTTCATCCTTTGTGGCCATTTTACTGATGTACTCTTGGATTTTTGATGTTTCATCCTGGATAGTGGCCTTGATGCTCACTAGTCCTCGGCCTCCCTCTTTCCGCTTAGCGTACAGTCTCAGGGTGCTGGATTTGGGGTGAAACCCTCTGTGCATGGTGAGGAGCTTTCTTGTCTTGATATCTGTGGCTTCTATCTCCTCCTTTGGCCAGCTTATGATCCCAGCAGGGTATATATATATATATATATATATTTCGCAACCTTAAGGGAGCAATCCTGTGTTGTAAAATGAAAATTTGATTACCTTGTATCCTTGTGTATGACATGGTAATGACAGGAGCCATTCCAAGAGTACCTTTAACTTTCATGCTATAAATACTTATTTATACTTTTACTTTCTAAACTTTTAAATGTAACATGTATTTTTAGTGTGATATTGCTGCTTTTACTTAAGTAAAAAGTCTAAATACTTTGTAATGGCAATTTTTAAGAACCTATACAACCCTTTGACCTGGTCATTGTAAAACCATATGCAACTATTAAAGAGGCTATTATATGCATATAACCTTTCCAAGTCCAGGTAAACAGCGGGATGTTGAGACTTTACTAAGAAGCCAAGGTCATGATCATCGCACCACACTATCTGTCTGTTTACTGTCCCAGAACTCAGGAATGTGTAACTGTGTTAGAGTGACGCTCCAACAGGGATAAAACCATACTGCTTCTTCCAATCTTCACCCTTTTGGACTTTCACATATGAGAGTGTGTGATGGTTGAGTCCTTTCATGGATGACTTGAATAAAACCTTACAGAAAGACAAGGTATGTTTTATTAAACAAATTTGCTCTGTGTAAATGGAGACTCCCAAAATGAAAGGGTTGTTGTAACTGATCATTGTGAGAGAAAACATTACCATGCAACCCACTCTGTGCGTAGAGCAGGAAACACAATGTTGCATCACAGCCGACCATAAAACCACAGCACACAGAAGGCTTGTTCCAGACTGAACCTGCTTGTTTGTGTTGGACACGTACATCTCATATGTCATCTGGATTTTTCATTTAAGGATTCTGTGTCTGATTTGCTCCTTCAGTCTCTGACTTCTTGGTTAATCACATGAGTTTGTCACAAGGGTGATCTTCTACAGAAGATGAAGATATGCTGGTTGCTTTGTAGGCTGTACAGTAGAGCGTGTTGGGACAATGACAGTTTTCCAACATGTCACAAAGACTTAGCATTTAATGACAGTAATGTGAATATACTGTATGGTTTAAAAGTGTGACCCTTTATGTAGACACATGCTCACACAACTGCAATACTTGATTAGTGTTTCTAATCAGTCACTTAATTTGATGACATCTGCTGACCAGATATTAATTTAAAATTCTTTACCAATTCCAAAACTGTTTTGTTTTTCAAGTCTCAATAAAATACCTCAAATATAAATGTACATAAACAAACATAACATACACACACTAGATGCACATAGATGACAGACCCTCAATCTGAGAGGATGTTATCTCAAGGAATCTTCTCTGAGTCATGTGTTTAACTTTTCAGTGTGAAGATAATAAAGACTTTATAGTCAATCAATGGTCAAACTAAGATAACTGTTTATTACAGTCAATAAAAACGGCCAACCCTATTTCTTCCCTTGTAGTTCCAACTTCCAAAAAATGGGATAAAAGTTAAAACATTCTATTCCTCCTTTTGCCTGCAACCCACTCAAGGACCAATGTGGATCCCCAGAGTCCAGTTTGAAAACCACTGGCCTGAACAAGCATGCTGGTTTCTACTGCAGTCAAACACAGGTATATAGTCTGGTGCCTATGTATTATACCATAGTCAGGCATTGTCTAAATTCAGTCAGGGTTAATAGATATGGCAATAAGATCTAAATCCTTTCAATCTGTGGGGGCAAAACAATTCCAACATTTTACCAGATGATGTGATGGTTTTTAAAAACAGGTGTAAAATCTTTCTATTCAACAAAATGGAAAGAAGAGAGAGGAGTGAATATACTTAGTATAGTATTTGTAAAATGAGTAATAATGTATGTACTATAATACAATTTGCTGTCAGCAGTCCTTATTGGTGATATGGGGTCAGTTATTTTAACTTCCTGGTTCACAAATCAATTTCATGTATTTTATTTTGTGTTTTGTGTTTCTGCATGTCCATTTTCTATGTTGGCTTAAATTTTGGTGAATATCTGGATATTAATCACATCTGGATCTTGTGTGGTATGTTGTTTTTGAATGTGCTGTATTCTGTGATGTGGTATTTTGCTGATTTGAATACAACTCAAGTATTTCTTGTTAAAGTAACTTAAAGTAAGTAAAGTTAATTGTACTAATTCCATTCAGTTAATTGGACTCAAAACAAGTAAGTATGTTACACACCATTTCTCTAAACTTGTTTAAAATGTGTTAACAGAATTCATATAAATAAAGTAAGAACAACTTCAATTAATCTTCTGTATACAAATGTTACTACTTAGGTTGAATTTACTGTTTCCCTCCACTAAATCAAATAATTACATTCTAGTTCTGACAACTTCAAACTTTGTTGTGGCTACTCACTTCAATTGAGGAAACCGATTGCCTTAAACCATTTAAGTTGTATTAACTCATTACAAACAGACACACATCTGCCAATACTTAAATCATTTATTTAGTTGAATCCTCTCAACTGAATACACAACATTCACAGCTCTAGGAAGAAACCTTAATGTGGTAATGCAGAAAGTATGAATAACTCACATAATGCACAAACATATTGGAGAAAAAACTATGCAATCAAACTAGATTGAATAGAACTAGAATCAACAAGTCTTGTATCATTGTTCA